AGGCGCTGTAAGAGGGGTACTAAAAAGGGTCCGACGAGCCTGCGGCGGTGTATCCCGCGTTCGCCTGTGTCGACCAGTGGCCCGCCTTGCCTCGGCTGACGACGAGAACGTCTGTCGCGCCGGATTGTCTGGGGTTGCAAGTTCACCAAAGAGAGTATCATTCGGATCTGCCCCTTGCCGCAGTGCTCCTTGGTCAGCAATTTGTCGCAGCAGTGTCACTACCTCCCTTTGAGTGCTTTCTAGCTGCTCCATTCTATGCGATAGTGCGTTATGGGCTTCAACTAGCGCATCAGGATAGATAATCCTGGTTCCAGGGAAGTACGATCCCGGCATACTTACAGACCCATCGTAGCCCTCGCCCAAGGCAGGGTTGGTTTGAGAGGGCGGACTGATCTCTCGTATGCTTGACATAGGTGAAGCGCTCCTCCCCAAAATGTTGATGGTAGTTCGTGAGTAGGATAAGGAGATCGTTCTACATAAGCCAAGAGATCTGAGATCAGTATCCAAGTGGAGATCCAAGCAACACAAGGGATTCTCTAGGTATGGAGATTAAGAAAGGGAAGGCCGACCTCGGTACCATGCAAACTCGAGCTTATCAGAGGATAATTGTTAATGCGGTGTTTGATGTCCTTTAAGGCTGATTAACACCCCTATTTATAGCGTTTACCTCCTCGGTCAATGCCTTTTAGTCCTTTAGCTGAGCTCGCTCTTATCCAAAGGTTCGATGGCCTCTTCTTCTGACGGATGAGACATTGATGGATGGGTCGCGGCACTTTGCCCCCCGATCAAAGGAGGTAATGACGCTCCCTAATTAATGAGGGTCTTATCAAATCTTTCGCAATTAATGCGTTTCTTATCCTTCATCGCTCGAGCTTAGGTACCGGGTATCCTTTCCCCCTTGTGTTGGCCTCGGATTGAGGCGACCCCTTAGATCTCAGCCACCTATCCACATGTCCTCAGATTCCCGTGCTTCAGTGGGGATAGGCCCCCTTTCGAGGTCCTGCCTTCATGACCTCGCGGGTTCCCATCCCTGAGGTCTTCTTTGCCAAGAAGGGAAATGTGTAAACAGGTAAGTCGAGGTTGCTCTTTCAGAGAGTACCCTCGAGCGAGCCAGGGGGGGAGGAGCCCATCCGACTGGAGCGGGGCGCGTCCACAGTAGAGGAAGGGTAGCGACCCCTTCCTCGGCCAGTGAGTTCCGTTATTGGATAGGTAGCTCGAGAATACCTAATCCACCGTGGGCACGCCAGGTCAGCACTGGCCAGTTGTGCCTATGTTGCAGAGGTGGCGCCACTTAGTCAGCTACCGTGGCGCGGTCATCAACACCACTATGTTTTTGTTGTTCAATTGTGTGAGTGTCCTTTACATGATACCGCTGTTTGTTTTGCCATGTTAGTTATTTGCATCATTGACTTAAACTCAATTACTTTGTGAGTATATTGTGACTGTAATCTTTGTAGTAACACTAACTCTGATGGCTAGGTTAAGCATTTGCCACTTAAAGGCATTGCTCTAGGCTCTGGTCAAAACCCTCGGCATGAATTTTAAAGAACACTTTCACAAATTTGACTGGCTTTTTTTTTTTTTTTTTTTTCTTCATTTTTTTATAATCTTATTTAGCATATGTTTGGTTTTGGCTAGCGTAATAAGTGATTAAATCAGTTTTTAATTTAGAAAGAAAAAAGGAAAACAGTTTGGTTAGCTGGCGAAAGTGTTTTAGCAATAAACTGATGATTCATGGGTCGATAATTATTTAGAAAGAAACATGCTTGGAATTAAGAATCTCAGAATTAAAAAGAAGCTGCCTTTTATTATGTTTAACAAAGCATAATTTTTCTCCACGTTATTCAAATATTACTCAATTATTCCATAATCTCTTATATTATAATAATTTTTTTTTTGAGTATCCTAACCAAGCATAACCCTAATAAATCTTACTGTAGGATAGGGAGCTTGCCCCATATATCTGTTTGGGTTTGTAATACAGCTAATAAACAGGTTACAGGGGTCCTAAGTAGACTGGGTTAGGTAAAGTCAATGGCTGCTGTGAGAGAGAGAGATAGAGATTTGCAGTCTTCAGATTACCACCAGACTTTTAAGGTCAAGCATTGCTGAAAGATTACTCTCTGTAGAAATGGCTATTATATAGGGTGGCCATATAATGCGACAAAATAAACATTTAATGTGCCAAGACACCATATCAGCCAGCCTTAGAAAGTCTCTCCATACTCCAATATAGTGTTGGCGTGTCTTAATTGGCATACGCCATTCTTAAGTCAAAGTGCTCTCTCTTTGAACCAGGTCAGTGTACATGCGAAGCCTCTAGGAGTGGTTACCTCGGTAAAACCTGAAGTTCAGCATGAGCAATACTTTCAATAGTATTGTGGGTAAGACACCTTCCCTTTGTGAGGTTTGTTATTGAACAGTTCTTTTATGACCTACAAGATTTTACCATGAAATTTGTATTTACCTGGCTGATAGCTAGATTACTTGCCTTAGCCTGGGATTTAGGTCATAAATTTCTTGACACAAGGAACATAAACAGAATCCTATAATTTAATGTTTCATTTCCTAATTATCCTCGTACCTGCCATTCTCTTTGTTATGTTTCTCATAAGAAGCTTCTGCTGAATAATGAAACTGATTTTTCTGGATCTGAAGTTGTGTGATATGTTTGTTTGAGTCTGTGTTCTGTGGACTTGAGTATGTGTGTAAGGTATGGCTGTGTGTTTAGGTGTGAAGTTCATGTAAATCTTAATGTGAGAGCAAAATTTTTAAATTGTCAATTCCCAATTGTTCTTATCTTTAACTGAGGATAAGGTAATGTATCCAAGTACCAGAGCCACAATTTAAGAAGGTATCAAAGGGAGTTTCTTGAAAAATATATTCCTTAATTGAATAAATTTTTTAGGTGCTTGTCAAATAATGTATGTTGAACATTTTTCCTCTTATTCATGTCATGAAATAATTTCTTCTTTTTAATTGTGCAAGCTTTTTGGATGCTTGTAAAAAAGTGAAGTGTGTTGGACATTTTTCCTCTTATCCATGTCATGCAGTGTTGAATGCCAGCCCGTCGCACACATTGAAATTTAAAATAGGATCCAATATTAGAAAGTAGTCTTTTCCTGTCTCTTTTTCCATATTATTCTCATTTTGCATGCAAGCATTTCACAAAGGTCTGGGTTACCTGCTCCTCTTGTCTGGAGCTACGTAATCTTCTCAATGATTTTTGCCAACTTATATTGACAAATTTAGGAGGAATTTGAAATTATCAGCATTTCTCAAGAGTCGCCATCTTAATGAAACACCATCAGGATTGGCAGATCTTGCTACTGATTTCTGTTTAAAAATATCCCATGCTAAAGTTTTCAATTGAATTTTGCTGCTTTACCAACTATTTTCTCTCTGCACTGCCTGAATTTTATTTATTTTTATTTATTTAACCTTTGGTAAGAAACTCACACACTCACTTTATTCCTATGGGAACTAAATCCTTGACCTTCTACTTTGGAAGGTGGGGAAGTACTACTATACTACAGCCCTTGGTGGTCTGCGCACTAAGAAGTTGGCACGTCACCCTTGTTGTGTGAACATGCATTCAGGAGGCATTTCCCTACCTTTATGTTTAATGTATATCCATTATCTGCAGCTGTATGGTTACATTGCCTTGTGGAATAATTAGTGTTCAGGCCCCAATGCAGGTGTGGTTGCCCCTGTCAACTTTTATATATCATATTATGTTCTCAATGGCCACATTCAGTCTCTGCAATGTCAGCACAGGGCTAAAAGTAAAATAAAATAAAATAATCAAGAGAGAATATGTGCAGTTTGCATCTGAGGTATATCCAAGAAATCAAGTGTCTAATATATCAGAAAGCCACTTGCCAAGGTAGCATAAAATGAGCAAGAATATGTTCATCTGAATAATATATTAGTTGTGAAAATCACCAATTATCATACATCTGATCACAAGGCATCATTCCTCCTTGAATATATTGGTTTGTGATTTTTTTTTTTTTTTTTTTTTATTATTTTTTAATGTTTAAGTCACTCTATTGGGATTTTTTCCTTCTTGTCTTTCCTCTCCTTAATGTCCTTGGCTATTGAAGGCACCAATGGATTGAAATAAAATCATCCATAGATCATATGATGATTCAGGTTTAGTCAACTACTGGCATTCACATTATAAACAAACCATGTTGCCTTCTTCATGACAGGAGTCTTGTGACTGTGGCATCAACTGGAGAGAAAAGGCTTCTATCTATGATTTTTTTTTTTCCCCATTATCTTGGAGTTGAAAACATCTCAAATATGCCTCTTTTCAGTTCTAATTTGTGCAATTGTAATTGCTTCATTTTCTGTCACCCTCAATTGTTGCTCTACACCCAGGGTAGTTCTACAAATTGGCTAAAGAACCCCCTCTCCCTTCCTCTCCCCTCTGTGTCCAACACTAGTGTAACCAAGAAATTTATATTTCATTACAATAGGTTTTACAGATTTGAGCGCCATCATTACAATCTTCTCACGCCTTCCTCACATAATCCAGTAATAGATGGATTCTTGCTGGATCCGTGTAAGCTCTTTTTTAAAGATACTTGTCAACAATTATGAAAAAAAGATACTTGTCAACAAAGATTGATATGCAATTCAGGAAAAAAGAAAAAAGAAAAAAAGATTGATATGCAATCTAAATGGTTCCTGAATGAGTATTTGATATGCCTTCATGAATTAATATGTGTTACATGTGTTTGTGTCCTTCATTATCATCCAATTATAGTATAGAAATGTTTCTTTTTTAGTGGCTAGTTCAAATAGATGAATGTGATGTCTGGAAAATCAATTGTGCAACTTAAAATTTGTACTTTTATCTTGATGATTTGAACAGACACATGCAATGTCTGGAAAATCAATTGTGCAACTTAAAAATTGTACTTTTATCTGGATGATTGTTGAAAAAATTCTGCAAGAATTCTATTGTTGACTTGACTTCTTCTTGATTACAGGTGGTTAAAAATTACAATGACTTTGCATTCTCAGAATATGCACGAGTGGGGAGAGCATTAGCCTTGTATGAGGTTGGCGACAGAGATGAAGCAATTGCGGAGATGGAGGATGTTTCCATATCTTTGAAAGGATATCCAGGTATCTCCATAAATCTTGCATTCTCAGGCTATATGAGGAGCAATCTCTATTTTTGTTTTCTTTTGTCTGGTGAACACTAGGAGTTAAAACCACCCCAGATGGATCTTATTCCTCGGGATGCTATTACTACCATGATTAGACTGTTTTCTCAAGTCAAATAATCTCAGTTTAATATTCTCATTGGACCATATTTTTTGGGGGGGTTTATGCAGAAGTGCATGCAGCTCTAGCTGCAGCCTTATATGTGGATAAGCATGCTCCACTGCTTGCTGAAAACCAGTTCACGATTGCGACTCTTCTTGATCCTCACTATACGGATCTCTCATATGTAAGAGAAACAAAGCATTGGCCACCAAGTTTGGTTAGTTCATTGCAGCTCTTCATCACATTTTCGTAGGACTTTGTAAATTATACAACTTCTGGTTAAAAGCTACTGTCTTGACTTGTTTGGATATTGTGGTCACTCTTTCTCACAAACAATCAAGTTCATTGTTAAGATGATTCATTACTGTAATAATTTGTTACATTATAACAGTGAAATACATATAGGGATAGATACATATTATCAATGCATTTCTATTCTTTTATCTACATTTCCATTCTTGTTGTTCTGGTGGGGGAGTGGGGGATCTCTCTAGCATGAAGGCATCAAGTAATGTCATTATGGTGGTAACTGTATGTTATGACATAGTGTCATGTGTTGGAATATTTTGTGACCCAAAGTTTTTATTGGTCGGATCCTCATCTACTTCTTTCAAACACCCAAGAGAAGGGAGTGGGCAAGCTCAGATCAAAGTGGGGGAAGGTCCCTATAGAGCTACAAAAGGACAATCCAATTCGTTTAAAAAGAAATAATGTCTCAAATAAGAGTAGCGCTTATGGAAGTTAACAGGACCTAGAGAAGAGGGGGAAGGGGGTGGGGGTAAATAAACCGTAGCCCAGCTTTGGTGACTTAGGGAGGGGGGTAATATATCGTAGCCCAGCTTTGGTGACTTAGGGAGGGGGTAATAAATCGTAGCCCAGCTTTGGTGACTTGGGGAGGGGGGTAATAAATCGTAGCCCAGCTTTGGTGACTTGGGGAGGGGGATAATAAATCATAGCCCAGCTTTGTTGACTTACATCAGACGGATATTTAATTAAGCGAACAAGTAAACTAGCGAATAACCAAACCATGAAGCAGTAAGAGACACACCAGATTTAGGTGGAAATGCCCAACATGGATAACCACAGGGAAATTGTCTTGAGCCATCCAATCCACTATAATTGAGAATAAGTACAACATTACAAGCCAATTACAAACTCTACCCAGAATAACCAGTTAGTTGTCTACAAATAACAGGTGGTATCAACAGGTCAAAGTATGCAATTTATACGGTCCTTGCGTAATCTCTTTTTCTTTCGTTCTCCTTTTCTTGTTGGTTTAATCATTTGAGTATCTTTGGCTGGTACCACGTCAGTGCCAAGGTTCTAACTTTTACAGGAACACAACTTGCTGTTAAGATATTGGAAGTCACGACAGTAAGGCAAGATTTTCACCATACAATAAGTATAATTTTTTATTTTGTCTTTATTGTTTTTCCCTTGAATTTTCCATTTTTTCGGTTTGGGTAGGATATTTTGATGTTAGTATTTTGAAGCCAGTTCTATAGGCGAGTCACTTCCACTTTTTTTACCGCTTAAATTCGTTTCTGTGTCCTCTCTTTTCTTTGAACTTCAGGACTTAGTCGCCCACAGATTTATACAACAGTTGCTTACTTTGTTATCTCAGCCATTCACGTTCATTGAAATTTCATTCCTTGATCATCATTCATTTTAACTTTAACTCGTGTCTTTTTCAATTGTCGACTGCCCATTCATCTTCCAGTCAAATGTTTGCCTACAGAAAGTAGTTTTGACGTGTCCAATTGTCATTGTTTGCTCTGAATGTGTATTTACCAGATTATTTGGACTGTCAAAATGTGTGACTTTGAAAATGTCACAAATTCAGAACACCGGGAGATAGATGACATACATCGTCATGGTGTTGCTATTAAGAGATATATAGTACCCAAGTATTGTATAGAATATAACATGTCGAGAAACACGATGATCATCAATTGAATTTGTTGCTGTAACATAGATTCATTGTTTATAATTTCATCAACCTAAATTGCCATATCTGTTTAGGTTGCCAGAGAATTCCGTTTGGTGGTGTATTTATTTGCAAGAATTGAAACTTCAGTGGATCCAGAAATGATTATTATCTAATTTCTCTCCATGTTCATGGATGTTTAGGGTTGACCTAACATGCTTGTGACATTACAAGGCTGATTCTGTAAGGTGCCTTTTGGCCCCACCATACAGACTAATGGTGCTGTTTGGAATGCCAGAAAATGTGTGAAACTGGGGTCCCATTTTGACCAATTTCCGAAAGTTTAGACCATAGGCTGCTATTCACAATTCAGATTTCTTCGTTTCACTTTAGTTTTTCAGGCCAAAAGGGTGCTAATTTCATAGTTGGCTAGCAATTTGGCCGAAATTTTGGACCATTGTCTGTTGTCACACTCAAGCATGTCTGCCTGTGATGTGAACCTTTATATTGTTAAAGGTGAAACACTCCAGTTAGTTTCTTGACTCAAGTGGCCCCTTTGTGCTCTTGTGGGTCCTCTTAGAGACAATGTTGTGCTCCCTTTTAGTTAGTTTTGGCATGCCAGAATTTTTTTTTTTTTTTGGGTATGGTCTCAACTAGGATCTGTGTGCGAGTGCGACAAATAGGCCGGTCTTAGGCTTAAAAGTGGCTTTTACAGTAACACAAAATACCTTTTTCTCTCTCTTACCGGATACATTTTATATGTATTATACAGTTTATATGCTATTTGGGAGAAAAAAAATTATGCTGTTTGTGTGTTGCCAAAAGCTTGACCCTTTTCTCCATGTATGGTTTGGTAATTTTTGGTCCAAATGTTGCCAAACCTAACTAGCAACTTGGCAAGTGGTGACTGTATTTCCAAAAATATGTGGATCATGAACTGTGGATTGGTTTGACTTAGGTTTGAATGTGCTCTCTGTGTGTGCCTGCGGAGAATATATATGATGTGGTGGACTGGTCACATCGTCATTTGTGCTCATTTGTGTTGTACACATGTTGCATATGTACAACACGGACGGCTGTGATGTGCCCGGTGCAAGGTACACCGGGTACACCAAATATTTGCTCGTACACATGGTCCAAAGTGAAACACATTCAATTCCCCTTAATCATCCCCACAACAAAGTGGTGGCTTTAAAGTTTCACCTCTGATTTTTGAGGTCATTGGGATATTTTTTCAGAAATATGTTGAGCTACATCTTCTTTGGCGTTTGATTGAACCCAAATCTACCGCTTAAAACAAGAAAAAAAAATGTGAGCCATCAATGGAAATGATATGATCAAAAGATGTGAACGTTAAATATAGAGTGATGATGCCTAGTTTTAAAACTCATGTTCCTCTTTTTAACATAAAAGTCTTTTTTTTTTTAATTCCTTGAATGGGGTCATACTTTATTTCTGTACGTGTGGTCAGTTGAACATCATTTTTTAGATGGTTACAACTAAAATAAATGGTTCCATTTGAGATTGACTAAAGATTACAAGAAAAATATTACTAAAATTTACAGTAATAACAAAGAGATTTTAAGGTGCTTTCGATTGTTTGAAAGTGGAGTCTTTAGAATTAGAATTTGTGAAATTTAAGAAAATTAATTAAGAAAATTAAATTAAATTATTTTCAATTTTAATTTCAATAATCAAATTCTACGCATTCAAAGACACCCTAAGTGGTTTTGTTAGACCGGATACATAGACACTTCAATTTTTTTCAAAATCTCGTTTCAAAATCATGCCAAACACATTTGAGAGAATAGTTAAATAGACCTCTTCTATAATCTAGGCCTCTTAAACACCCTACCTCCATAGTTTATTTGCTACTATGGTGACATTTTTGTACCTTATCTGAACTTTTCTGTAAAGCCCAACTCACTTTTTAGATGTATATGGTATAATTAATTATAATAAAAAAATGTTGCCAATTCATCTATCAATCCCACTTTTAAACTCTTTTCAACCAATCTTGAGAAGAAAATAAAAGCAAGTAGAAAGAGAACACTTTTTTCTTATTCATTTTTTAGTCCAAACATCTAGATGACAAATTCTACTGATTAGCTTATGTTGAGGACTGAAATAAAAAATGTGTCTGTTTCAAGATGATACTTTCCCTTTCTTTTCCTATTATTTTTTCTTTTCTTTATTTCCTTTTTTTTTTTTTTTTTTTTTTTTTTTTTTTTTTTTTTTTAGCTCCCATCGGAAATTAGAAATAAGCTAGGAGAAGATCGATATGAGGTGAGAAGCATGCCCACTCAAAAAAATCAAGATAACAAATTTTATCGTGCATGTCAAAGGGCTAAAATCACATATTTCTCTGTTATCACTTGCAACAATGGAAGGAGAGACGGCAAATTTTCAAAATTTTCTTTAGGCTTTGTTTGGCTGCATGAAATTGAAGCTTTGGAATTAGAATTTGTGGAATTATAGAAAATTTTGGTTTAATTTTTTAAATTGCTTTTTCTCAATTCTATTAATTCCAATTCTAAAATTCTAATTTAATGCAACCGAACACAATATTAGGAGGATTTCTAACTCTTACTGTCCCTGTGAAACTAATTTTGCCTCATGAGCAACTCATATAAGCAACTTCATTCACTCAATAGTGTAAAAAATCTGGTAAGTTAATTAATTGAGTTAGTTTTTCATTTTTCAAAGACTAATAACATACATGAATTGATATTTATTGTATACAGTTATATATGCAAATCCATACACAAAAGCTTCAAATGATAAAAAAATAATTACCACTTGATCACATCAAACCATCTTACACATGCCTTAGCTCCTCACCCCACATAGTTCTCAGCAACTTGAGCAACATTCTTGCCTTAGTCTTTGTCCTGCCACCGCACTGGCTCTGCAGCAGCAGCAACAATTGAGTCAAAACACCGGCACAAATGGCTTCCTCCCTGGCACGTAGCGAGTCATGACATATGATGGTGAGCGCGTTAACAGCGCTCTCACTGCCTCCATGATCCGACACTCTGAAAACCAGCTTAACCAGAGCATTGACGCCATTAGGATGATTGATCACAGCCTCTTTCGCGCTCTCTAGTCCTAGGAGCACTTCAAGTGTTGCCATTGCCATTGGCGCCAAGCTTCTTTCTCGCCTTTCAGCACTCAAAATGTATGTGATGAGTCCATCTATCGCGCCTTCTCTTACCAAACTCTCTCTGTTAGCTTCCAAAGAAGCTAATGCTGATACGACTCTGTTCCCGGCTTGAGAAGCCTCGGAATTGTCATGGAGAAGAAGGACCATTCGGTTTAGAAGCGCGTGATTCTGCCCAAGTGTAGCACAGAGCTCTTTTGTCTCTGAAGAAGTAGAAATCGCCTCCACAAGATGACACAAACTTGTCTTCATAGTCATAGTGCCATGGTCATATAGGACTAGAAAGCGCGCTAATTTGGACTCATTTCTGAGAATTTTTAGAGGCTGCAAGTTTCCAAATGGCAACAATTTGAGAACACAAACAAGTGCTTGTTCAACAAACTGCAAGTTGTCATGGAATTGTGATTGGCCTCCAAAAACTAGTTCCAATAACAATGGTAAGAAGCCTAATTGGATCAAACAAGACATTCGTGATGGCGATTCTTGGGCTAAAACTAGGATCTTTTCGAGTGTTTGAAGCTTTGTTTCGAGGGTGGACTCATGGGCCTCAAGGATGTGCTTAACTGCGGCTAGGGAAGGATCAGGATCGATGATTTTGAAGTAATCAGAATCGATTAATGTGTTGCCGATTTGTAGCCATTGATCGATAAGATGGCGAAGAGTGTGATTAGGGACTATGGATAAATCATGGAGCTTCTGCATTGTGACAGGACATGTTAGATTACCTGCGGCAAGCCATTTTTCGATGCTGGACCGGTCGTAGGTTTGGCCTGTGCATAGTGTCACTGGATCTGTGAACAAGTCTAGACTAATTGGGCATCTAAACAAGTAAGGAATGACCATTTCAGCTTCATTCATGGAAGAGGAAGAAAAAAAAAAAACCAAAATGTTGAAGCAGAGAAAAGGAGTTTGGTGAGGAATAAATTGATGAGATTGGTTAAATTCAAGAGTCTAAGACATGGGTATTGTAGACATGTTAGAATAATTTATAGAAGTGAGAAGATTGATGTAAATAATAAATTCCTATGATTGAAAGAAGGCAAAGAAAAAGTTGGAAGTGGGTGTTGAGTTGAGATTCCAGAAGAAGGGCTAGGACTAACAGTATGGACTGACACAAAGGTGAGAGGCTGGGAGAGGAATTCTAGACTTTAGTTATGAAATTGCAGTTCACACTGACAGACAGCACATGAATGTGTGTGTGTGTGTTTGGGTGTGTGTGTGAGAGAGAGAGAAGGGGGGGGGGGGGGGCAAAAGTGCAGTCTTAGTTGGAGGAATGAGATGAGAAGATGGCCAAAATGGGGCTTATCTATCTTGGCCACAAACAGAGGGGTAGAGGTGTAACTAATAGTACAAAACAATTATAGAAATGGACCCCCAACCTTTCTCCCCCATATTTATCAATCCAGTCAAACTGGCCCACCTAAAGAAAATAATAGTTGTTAATATCTTTGAAGTTTGAATCCCACCCAACATCAGTTGAATTGAAAATGGGTGATGGAGAGAGAGAGAGAGAGAGAGAGTTATGATAGTCACAAGGCTCATGAGAATAGCACTAATATGAAAAAATCACCACATGAAAATAGTGATGGAATCGGTGAGTATTATCTAATGATTAATGACCCGAGATTCGGATAAATTTAATTAATTTTATATGATATCGTAATATCTGTTTTTATTCTCTATTCATATAAACTCATTAAAATTATTTTACTTTCAGATTTTAAATCATTATTCTTATTTTATAAATTATGCATGCGTAAACTAGTCCGATCACTTTTGTTTTATTACCTTAACCTTCGGTCTTTTTTCAAAATACCATTAGAAAGTGATGGGCTCAATGATTCCAAGGATCTTTTAAGGCTCATGGGACAATCAATTTTAAAGAAGTCCAAATTGCAATTGTAGATATTGCTTCAACGACAATCATGTTCTAAAATTAAATAAATAAATAATAATAAATAAATGAACAGAGTATTTATTCCTAAGTTATTGTCAAATATTCATGAAATGTCATCACATAAATTTTCTTCAAAGACCCTTTTAAAAAATTTGACTAAATCTTCTGAATTTATGGAAAATATTCCTGAATTTATTTGGTAAAAAGAAAAAAATTCCAACATATTCGCCAAAAATTGAGTTTTGAGTGCATGCAAGTACAGGGGTGTAAACATGTGCATGCATCAAGAATGTATTAGAGATCTGTATTAACCTAGAAACACCATGAATATATCTTTAATGGTAGCTTAAGGCTGTGGCTTTTGACTGGCCAAACAAATCTTAAAAACATACCAACTCCTTATTCAAAGTATAGCTGCTGCTTATGGTCCACACCTTGTACCATCTGACCTGATCTTGATCAAATGGTCACCAAGAATAGGAAACAAGAAAGAAATACAATGGTGGAAATTCAATTATGGCAAGTATCGACTAGCCATGAGTATTGAAATAACGTAAGTCACATAAAGCGAAAGTCAGAGTGGGAGTCAATTTGAACACAAAAGCGCAAGAACAATAAAATTTAAGTCACACACAGAGAGAATGAGAGTAAGAGCAACACCCATTGAGAATAATTATATAAATTTGGTCGTAACGCAATAATTACATGCAGAAGTAAAATTGCGTTCATCTAACTTTTTGGATTGAAAAGTTTCTTTGGACCTTTTGAATATTTATCAATTTGAGATAATGTTTTTCACTTTTGTTTTTTTTTTTTTTTAAATGTTATGATAACATTTTTACTGTACTTTTAAGTTTTTTTTTTTTTTTTTTTCAATTGTTTTATGATGCTTTTCACAGCATCACTGTTTTTCTTACAGTGACACCCCATATGTCATTTTGCATGCCCAGTAAAATATATAATAACATTTTTAAAGATATTATAAATATATTATGCAAATCCAAATACCAAATGCTAAGAATAGATAACCTACTTTCTTCACTCTTCTTGTTGTTAGTCTCCATACCCATCGTATATATCCTTATCGAATGAGTAGGCAAGAAAACATGCTATATGTTCCCAACATTTAGTAAGACCAGACTGATTTGTGCATCCATATAATATATATATATATATATATATATATATATATGTATGTGATGGATGATGAGAGAGAGAGAGAGAGAGAGAGACAAAATGCCAAAGAGTAAGAGGACAAAACAAAGGCCACAAACGAAACTTCAAAATTAAGATTGATATGAAGAAATTTCGCTCCTTTGAATACTATCCTGTCTGCCATTTGAACAATTCAACTCCCCACTAGTATTATATACATAGATATAAATAGTTATTTTATTAAAAAGTAATGGCTCATTATATATTCTAACTTTTTAAAAGATCTACAAAAATAGTTTCGCAACTAGCTGAGGGGGCTAAAGAAATCTAAGGAACTTATAGATATAAAATATTATATGCGCGCTTTGTCTGGTCACAAACTGCGTAAAAGTACATAAGCCACCCTTGATTTTTTTATGAAAATATTTTGCCTTTCCTTTTCTTTTTCCTTTTAGACATTTGTGTGTGTGTGTGTGTGTGTGTTTTTTTTTTTTTTTTCGTTCACACTTGTAATTTTATTTCTAACACCACTTGAACATTTAACCTCTCATTTAGAAAGGGAAGATCATACAATTTAAATTAATGCCAATTGATTTTTAATTTTTTTTTTTTTTAGACATTGCATCGAAATATCTAATAGTAATAATTGTTCCATCATGAACGGGGAGGCTAACAAGTTAAAAAAAAAAAAAAATCTTTTCGTAAGTAGAGATAAAATTATGTACATTTGACCCTCCCAAAAAGTAAACCTTTTTATGCACCAAGAGAGAACCAAAAACTCTACATTGCAAGCATAGAGATAACTAAGAAATGCTCCATTGTGAATTGAAAGTAACAAATTCAAAATAATAAGATAATAATATATATATATATATAAATCACGTACATAATAGGAGTGACAATTCGTGTTCGTGTCATGTCGATGTAAAGATATTATACTAAATAGGTAAACCCAAACTCAATCCATTTAATAATCGTATCAAGAATTCTCAACACTAACTTAACCTGTTTATTAAACAGGTAAATGTGTTAACTCGTTTAATGACCTGTTTATCAAAATGAGACATTTAATATTTAATCAAATACAGTACTAAATAATAGATAAAAATTATCATAATTAACCCAAATATTTAAAATAAAAATAAAAAATTTATAAGATATAGACAAAGTTTATGTTAAAATGACTTAACTATTCATAATAATTGGGTTTAAAAAGGTAACATATTATATAGGTCATATTCACGATTATAACATGTTGAGTTAAATGAGTCATAAACGGGTTATATGGGTTGAATCCCTTAATTCTAACCCGACACGGTTAAGAAAACGGGTTAATTGTGTCGACTCTTTTATTACTCAAACTTAAACCCTTTTAACTCGTATCGTGTCATAATTTGCCACCCTCACGTACATTTGATTCTTCTAAAACCAAACCCTTTTTATGCACCGAGAGAGAATCGAAGGACGACCTCGACCCTAATGACAAAGTATTGTCATGCCAAATTAAGTTTTGGGTCAGGCCTATAGTTTGAAGCTTAAGCCCAATTCAATGAAAACAACTATAGTTTATTTATCTTTTAAAATATCTTCTCCTCTTTTCCTCCTATTAAATGGAAAGGATGACCTCATTTCTTTCCTTTTCATCCAACCACAAACTTCTCTTTCCATCATCAAAAAAAGTAGAAATGTCGTGTCAACATATTATTTTTGCATTACAACGTCATCCGCCAAACAACTCTTATTTTATTTTCTTATTTGAATTGAACTCTTATTCAATTCTCTCTCTCTATAAATAGATTATTTTTTATTTTAATAAAGCTCCACTAATATCTTCTTTTTATTTTTTATAGTATAAATAAAAAAGGGTAAAACTTTATCATTAGTAGTGCACACTCTTATCCGTAAGATTAAGAAATGTTTTTTTACTCAAAGGAGGTGCTCACTGTAAGATGTTCTGAAGATTTTAGAAAATAAAAAATTATTTTAAAAGAATTATAAAAGATATTTTATGAAAATAATTTTTTTATAATAGCCTTCAAAAACTGTTTTTAAGAAAACTGTAACTAAACAAGTTTTGTACAGAGTACAATTTTTTATTTTTATTCTAAAATTTATATAAATATAGAAAAATATTATAAAATTTTAAATTAAACATACTTATATATCTATTTAAGATGTGTAACGATTATGAGCTAAATTTAGCCTACAAATTAATCATTATTCTTTAAGATTGAGAAAAAGAAATGAGATAAATATGTAAGTATGACATTATTTTTTTAATCTATTTATTTCACGGATAAATTATTACATAGTAGGCCATTGATTCCAACCCAATCACAATGCCTAATCAAATAATGTATGGTAATCTTTATTCAATTTTTTTTTAGTTTAGGGGCGTTAATTTGATCGGACTATATAACAAAATATCGTGTTTGGTATAGACTTCTAAATTCACATTTGTTTAGTTTTCTCAATATTTTTCTATCTATTTTACTAAACCAAATGAGTCCACACCTAAAACAAATGAAATTAATAAATTATTACTCCATATATATATATTTTTTCAAGTGAAATGAATTACTCCAATTAACAACCAAATAAATATTGAAATCCTTACTAAAATATATAGCGAGTTCTAGTATTTACCACAAAAAAAAATTTACTTGTCTTTATTTTTCCTTTCAGAGCGAGTATCTTTCTTTTAATTTTGGTGAATTCTTTGCAGAGTCTATGTAATAGTGGTTTGCCCACTTTTTACTAAATTTTCGTTTTAGTTTTTATTTTTTGGCGACCAACCAATACTTATATATACCTTCATGTGACAACAATTGAGATTTGGCAGGACACACATGGATGCTCAGAGTCATATACGGACATATATAACAAATACCAGAGGCTCTTAACACTGACCCAGTTGTTATAACTGAATAAACTGTCAATCATCATTGTTCACTGACCTGTTCAAGCAAGAGATCGGACTTGTCTTGCAGAACTGAATTGCAATGCTCATCCCAGAACTTGGTGATGCATAACACCTGTTTGTGGTAATGCCTCTTAGAAGTCATTTACTCTGCTTGGTACCTCATGTATTTCACAAGTCAATAGATTGCCATCCTGTGCATGTACTTAACGGAATTTGCTGTTATGGGTTATGTTTTTTCAGGTTATGCAGCTTTTGGGTTTATATAATTTTGAATTTGAGGTGAAGTTATAGAAGAGAATGAGAGTGGATGGTGACTTGGCTTCTTAATCTGTAAGGAAAATGCGGTTTGTGGGCTGGCCAACTGTTTGCCAGAGGAACCTACTAAAATGCACCATACCACAAAGCATAGGCCTAGTTGGGGTCAATATAGGTAAGCTCTTGCTCGCTTACGCATTTTCAACTTTTTCATGTTTTTGAAATCATTTTATATACCCTGATATCTGGACAATATCTGAAAACGAAATCATTTGATTATGGAGTACTTAACGGCGGAAAATATATATTTTGTTCAGAATTTAAGGAATGAAGTGTTCTTATAATGATGAGTCCAATTCTTCCAATTCTTCTTCTTTTGATAATTACACTGTATGCATACTTAAAGGAAAAGTATGTAAACTTTCTACTTGGTAGTGCAAGCTTTTGCTGGTCTATAATTCAAGTTGAATTAGATTATTTATCCCTTGTAACAGGGAGAGGGATCAAAAGACTGCTGAGTCGTTCAGTTTCTTCTACCCTTGAAGCAGTTGGCAATGACAGTGATAGGGATATTGGCAAAATGACACTGGCAAAAGAATTAGCCTGTTTAGTTGAGGAAACTTCTGACCATGGCAAGAAGAGACCCAAAACACGCATGGAGCTTAAGAGGTTACTTGAGCTCCGTGTAAAGAAGAGGGTGAAGGAACAATATACAAATGGGAAGTTTCAAGACCTTATGACAAAAGTTGTTGCCAATCCAAAAACTCTTCGGGATGCTTATGATTCTATTAGAGTCAACTCAAATGTCGACTTAGCACTGGATGGTGACAACATCCCGTTTGAATCTATAGCAGAAGAGCTCTTTTGTGGGAATTTTGATATAAGTGCCAATATATTCTCCATCTCAACAAGGGGTGCAAAGAAGGAAGTCCTTATCCTTCCAAATCTGAAGTTGAAGGTTGTTCAAGAAGCCATTAGAATAGTTTTGGAAGTTGTTTTCAAGCCCCACTTTTCTAAGATTTCGCATGGTTGTCGAAGTGGGAGGGGTCACTCCTCGGCATTGAAATACATCTGCAAAGAAATCTCTAATCCCGATTGGTGGTTCACATTGCTTGTTAACAAAAAGCTTGATGCTGCTATCCTTGCCAAACTCATCTCAGCTATGGAGAATAAGATAGAAGACCCCAACTTATACAGCACCCTCCAGAGCATGTTTGATGCACAGGTGCTCAATCTGGAGTTTGGGGGCTTCCCCAAAGGCCATGGTCTTCCACAAGAGGGAGTGTTGTCCCCAATTTTAATAAATATATATCTTGATCTCCTTGACTGTGAATTGTACAGTATGTCGATGAGATATGAAGCTTTGGATATGGGGCTTCATTGTGAACAGGATGGATCCCACTCAAAGCTACGTAGCTGGTTTAGGAGGCAGATGAAAGGCAATAGTATCCAAGACACTGGAGGGGAGAAGTCTCATGTAAGATTACACTCTTGTCGCTTCATGGATGAGATATATTTTGCTATTTCAGGTTCCAAAGAAGTAGCTCTTGCTTTCAAGTCTGAAATCCAAAGTTACTTGCAGAATTATCTCCACTTGGATGTTGATAATCAAACAGAAATATTGCCATGTAATGGTCCGCATGGTGTTCGATTTCTTGGCACTTTGGTTAGAAGAAGTGTGAGAGAAAGTCCGGCAGTAAGAGCTGTTCACAAGTTAAAGGAAAAAGTTAAGATGTTTGCTTCACAGAAACAAGAGTATTGGGACGCTGAAAATGTCAGAATAGGGAAGAAATGGCTGGCTCATGGATTGAAGAAAGTTAAAGAATCAGAGATTAAGCATTTATCTGATAGTAGCTCTCTTTTGAGTCAAATTTCCAGATTCCGTAAGTCTGGGATGGAAACTGATCACTGGTACAAAGTCTTGCTAAAGATATGGATGCAAGACATAAATGTCAAATTTGCAGACAGTGAGGAATTTATCTTAGCCAAGTATATTGCAGAACCAGCTCTTCCCCGAGAACTAAGAGACTCCTTTTATGAATTTCAGAAGCGTGCAGAGGAATATGTTTCTTCCGAGACAGCTTCAACTCTTGCTCTTTTGCCTACTTCCATCTCTTCTGAATCTGTCACCACCACGGAGATTGTTGCTCCTGTAGACATCATAAAGAAGCATCTCTTACGATATGGGCTGATAAATACCAAAGGATTCGGCCGTACATCTCATGTGCTTATTTTACAAGATAACATTCAAATTATTGACTGGTTTTCAGGTTTAGTTTCTCGATGGCTTAGATGGTACAGTGAATGCAGCAATTTTGGTGAGATAAAGCTAATGATTTCAGATCAAATAAGGAAGTCTTGTATCTGCACACTGGCAGCCAAGTACCGAATGCCTGAAACTGAGATAGAGAATCGTTTTGATTCAGAATTGAGCAGAATACCCTCGACCCAAGAGATAGAACTTGAGATGGCAAGTGAGACATTAGATTCAAAAGATTTCAATTTTAGTGAGTCATTAATGTACGGAATTTCTTACAGTGGTTTGTGTTTACTATCCTTAGCAAGAATGGTGAGCCAGTCAAGGCCTTGCAACTGTTTTGTTATGGGGTGTATGGCTACGGCTCCATGTGTATACACCCTTCATGTGATGGAGAGACAGAGATTCCCCGGTTGGAAGACAGGGTTTCCAAGTTGCATTCATCCGAGTTTGAATAAAAGACGAATCGGGTTGTGTAAACAGCATCTAAAGGATTTGTATCTTGGCCATATATCTCTCCAATCTATTGATTTTGGTGCTTGGAAATGACACTATCCAAGAAGTTAAGAAGAGCAATGCTTAAGCAGCAAAAGGCCCTCCCTATTGACAACTCAATGACGGAACAATTTCACAGTTCAGTGTGAAGAAACTCTCTAGTGGGCTTCTGGTGAAGAACTTTAATGGGTCTTTGACCTTTGTAGACCTAGAGTTTATTTTTCACACCATTGTTGAAGAGACTGCAATTATTTTCATTAAATTCTGCACAGAAAGTAAGGTAGGTAGGACATGCTGAGAGAGAAGTTTCTTGCCCGTTTACCTGAACCCCAGGGCAGAAAATCCAACGACATTCTTGCAATTTAATGCTGCCATCTGATCATCAACAATTTCCAACGGCAGACAACAACATTTTATTAATTATTGGTGAGAAGGGTTGCTTCAGTTTCTTTGCCTCGTATCTTTCATAGTTTCATGGAGAAGTTATATGTATACTTTTTGTTGAAGCCTGTATGAAATACTCTATATTTTTGGTGGAGGAATGAAGAAAAAGAAAATTGTAATATAGCTTGTATATATATTGTTTGCATTTCTCATATATTTCTATTACTCTGCAATTTGACAAATAACTGCAGGCTTTAGCTAGATGACAGGGCCTTATAGTGACAATTCCAAAGAGCAGCTTAGAAGTCCATTGATGCATTCAGCTTAAGCCCATACACCTGTGCTGTCAAAAGTGAAGTCCATAGATAATCCTCTCACTCAAAGGTCCATTAGAGAATATTCAAAATCCTTGGAGGCTCTTATCTTTGATAGGCTTGGATATTCCCTTTTTTTTTTTTTTGGTCTTCAGGATACCAACAGTTCTACTGTACATTAACCTTTGTGCATTGCACTAATGGACAACAATATCTACATATTCTTTTGAATGGAGTGTTGTGACGTTTCTGATTTTTGCCATTTTTTATTTTTCCTGAATTTCGTTGACACAGGGGTATTTTGGTCTTTTCACATTTTTCGTACGGGATTCTAGTTGAGCACTTGCATTTTGTGCATTTCAATTTACGTGAATTAAGTGGTATTTTATGTGTTGCATTATATGTGTGTAGTGTAGAAATTGAAGTAAAAGAAAAAGGGAAAAGAAAATCAAAGTGGTGAGACCCATCACTATATCAAAAGTGGTCTAGAGACCACATTTCCAACCATTCACTCTCTCTCCCTGCTGGTTCTCTCTCTCCCACTCTCTTGATTGCTTTTTCTTTTTCTTTTCTCAATCAATCTTTGAGACTTGATTACTTCTTCATTTCTTACCCGATTTGTGTGCCGTTTGAGGCAAAACGAAGCCCACGAGGAACTCTACACATCCATACCAGCAATTCTAGATTTGGTGCCCTCCTTGATTTTCGAATTCCTTGACCCATTTCAAGGGTTTTGCTCATTTTGAGGTAGAGGCATCCTAATTCACATTATTCATGCACCTTTGTGAGTTATTCTACTTGAATTGTGTTATAGCATACTTGTTAGTGTTAATTGTAGCTTAAAATGTCTTGATTGTATATATGTGAATATGTGAAGACTTGTCTTGATTGTGCTATATGAGAAGCATGCTTATATAATGAGTTCTATGCCTATTGTATTGTTCACATGCTATGAATAGTGTATGAAAGCATGTCCTATTGTATTTAGTGATAATCCATTATTGTTTAAATTTTAAAAGTATGAGAACATGCTTACTTGTGTTGTGTCAAATTTCTCATTTCATAGAATTGACATCATGAGACATGCATGTACACCATTGGGTTGCATGAAGGGAAGAAATTGTTTTTGAAATGAAAATGGGGAGTTTTGGAAAAGAAGATTTTGATGAAAGTGTTTTGGAAAAACCCGATCGCTGCGGAGTTACCAACGGACCGGTAGGTTAATATAACCTAGAGGGAACTAGGGAGATTGCAATAGCATGATTGAGTTATCTGGTGTAACGATCCCAAAACTAATGCCAAGAATTTTTTTTTTTTTTTTAAAATTCGGCATAACCTCCCCTAAAAATGGACCTTCCGCAACCTGTTTAAATGCATAATTAACCTGTCATGCAACTAATTTCCGAATTCACGGCAACAAAAGATAATGATACAACCTACTAATCTAGACAATGCTTCAAGCTAGGATTATCCTTCCATTCATCAACAAGTTACATATCATCAAGTTCGCATCCCATATGTCATCAAGTATCATAAGTGTATTACATGATCATGGTTCTTCAAAAGAAATTTACATCATTACACCTTTGGAATTTTACAAAAAATGAGGGATGAACAAAGGAGTAGTCTATTACAAAATAACAAGGAAAATGCTCCTCTAGCAACTTTCAAAGTTGAGGTGGACTGTCGTCCACCGGTTCTTTTCCAAGACCTGAAAAAAAATATATAGATATAGGGGTGAGCATATAGCTCAGCAGAGACACTCAAGACACAAATCTTGTGTCCTTGTGAATTCAAGCAAAGCATAGGCCAATGGGAGATAGGGATCATACAACGTAGGGGATCAAATACAACATACAATTCAATTCCAATTATAAACAATGCAATGCATGTCAATGACACTCCCCATTTTCATTCTCAAAACCATCACTTTCAAACGTTAATACAGTCCGCCCTTTGGTAACCCCGCCGCGACACGAGAGTAGGATTGGCTAATGTCCCTGACCCTTGGTAACCCCGCGGCGTCATTATAGGGCCCAGCTAGCTCAACCACACTAGGACGACTCCCTAGTCCCCTCTAGGCTATATTAATCTCCGGCCCGTTGGTAACCCCGCAGCGACCGGGTTTCGCATAAAATCATTTCATTAAAAACACTTTCCCGAAATTTCCCCTTTTTGAAGCAAATTAATTCTTTCCCTTTTCCTGCCCAATGTTAATGCATGAATACCTCAATGACATACACAAGTTCATCATTCCATACTTTATCCAATTTAAGCAACATGGCATAATTCGCAAGAATAATCAAGAAAGTCATAACATGCTTATACATAACAAGTTCTAGCACAATGAACATATATAATCAAGTCCTAAACATGCTTCACATAGAACAATCAACAAATATAGTCACACAACTAACATATATGCATACATATCAACAATTCTCTAGATTTTAAACAACTAATCAAATTAAACAGCAATTAGAGGCAATTAACTCACTAAGGTACAAGATTTCATGAATTAAGGGCCCCTACCTCAAGATTGCACCAAAACCCTAGAAAATGGGTCCTCAAATTCGAGCTCCAAGGAAGACTCAAAACTGGAAATTGATGGTATAGATGTATAGAGCTTGACACGAGCTTCGTTTTGCCTCAAACGGAACCTAATTCCAACAAGAAATGAGTGAGAAATCTAACCTCAAAGTTGAAACCAAAAAATAAGAGAAAAATGAGCTTACGGGTTGAAAGAGAGATGCACGAAGAGAGAGAAAGGGAATCAGGAAAATGAGACCAACTTTATGGTCCTGCCCCTTTTCTAAAGTGCCTTGTGGGCCCCACCATTAAATTATTTTTCTTTTACTTTTATAATACACTACACACACACAATAAATACACAGACATCACATTCTCCCCAACTTATAAGGATTTCGTCCTCGAAATCAAGACATACCTAAGGAAGAAAACAACGCTGGGTACTTGGACCGAACCTCCTGTTCGAGCTCTCAAGTAGCTTCCTCGACTCCGTGGTGTCTCCAAAGGACTTTCACCATTGGTATCGTCTTGTTCCTCAATACCTTCTGTTGTGTGTTAAGAATCTGAATTGGTCCTTCCTCGTAGGAAACATCCTCATCAATGTCCACATCTACCCAACTCAAAATGTGAGATGGATCCGGTTCGTACTTCCGTAACATCGATACATGAAAAACATTGTGGACCCTATCCAACTGTGGTGGCAAAGCAAGCCTGTAGGCAACCTCTCCTACTCAGTCCAAAATCTCAAACGGTCCAATAAATCGTGGCGACAACTTGCCACTTTTTCCGAATCTCATCAATCCCTTCCGTGGAGAAACTCATAGAAAAACGTGGTCTCCCACCTCAAAGGATAACGGTCGTCTCCGCTTATCCGCATAGCTCTTCTGTCGGCTCTGAGCTGTAAGTAACCTCTGTCTTATCAACTTAATCTTCTCAGTAGTCTCGAGTACAATGTCGGGTCCTAAGGCGGCTGTCTCACCTACCTCAGTCCAACAAACAGGAGACTTACAAGGTCTACCATACAACGCCTCAAATGGAGCCATCTGGATACTCGCTTGATAACAGTTGTTGTAGGCAAACTCAATAAGTGGAAGGTGATCCTCCCAACTACCACCCAAGTCAAGCACACATGCCCGAAGCATATCCTCCAAAATCTGGATAGTACGCTCCGACTGACTGTCCGTCTGTGGATGGAATGCCGTACTAAGATGCAACGCTGAACCAAACACTACTTGAAGTCCTTCCCAGAACTTCGAAGTGAACTTAGCATCCCTATCTGACACAATGGTTACAGGAACTCTATGCAACCTTACAATCTCCTTCACATAAAGAACACCAAACTTCTCTGCATCATCTGTTGCCTTAATAGGCAAAAAGTGAGCCGTCTTGGTCAATCTGTCAATGATGACCCATACGGCCTCATTGCCCCTTCGTGACCTTGGAAAACCTGTCACAAAATCCATAGTGATATGCTCCCATTTCCATTGCGCTACAGGTAATGGTTGCAACAAACTTGCTGGCCTCTGATGCTCGGCCTTCACTTGCTGACAGGTAAGGCATCTAGCCACAAACTGTGCAACATCATTTTTCATCCCGCTCCACCAATATTGACGTCTCAAATTGTGATACATTTTAGTACCACCTGGATGAACTGCAAAACGGGAAGTGTGAAACTCCTGTAGGACATCCTCACGACATACTGTGGGAACCACCAACAAACCCCTGAACCGTAGACCCCCATCTGCATGCAAGGCCCAATCTTTCACTGTCTCACCACTAGAGATCAAAGCGTGGATGGCATCTAAGTCCGGGTCTTGTCTCTGTGACTCAATCACTCGTACAATAAGAATGGGCTGAGCCACAAGACTAAATAAGAATGCCGACTCACTGTAACCATCATCATCAAAACACTGTAATCCCATCTCCGCCAAATCTTCAAGCATCTTCCACTTCCGAATAGCCAGACAGGCCAAAGTTCTACGAGATTTTCGGCTTAAGGCATCTGCTACCACATTTGCCTTGCCCGGATGATACTGCAAGTCAAAATTGTAGTCCTCCAAGAATTCGACCCATCGCCTCTGTCTGTTGTTCAAGTCCTATTGGGAGAAAAGGCACTTAAGACTTCTATGATATGAAAATACCTCGAATCTCTCACCATACAAGTAATGTCTCCAACACTTCAAGGCAAATACAACTGCCGCTAACTCCAGGTCATGAGTAGGGTAGTTGTACTTGTGATTCTTCAACTGTCGAGACCCATAAGCCACTACTCTACCATCCTACATCAACACACATCCCAACCCGTCACGTGAAGCATCACAATAGATCACATAACCCAAGCCACGCTCAGGTATCACCAACACTGGAGCTGTAGTCAATCTCGTCTTCAACTCCTGAAAAGATGAATCATAGGCCTTATTCCAGACAAACTTGACCCCTTTCCGGGTCAAACGGGTCATAGGAGCTGCCAAACGGGAGAAATCCTTCACAAATCTCCGATAGTAACCCGCTAAACCAAGGAAACTGCGGATCTCAAACACATTCTTGGGTCGCTCCTAAGTCAAAACTGCTTCAACCTTTGATGGATCAACTGATACTCCACCTTCTGAAACAACATGCCCCAAAAACTTCACCTCATGTAGCCAAAACTCACATTTTTCGTATTTGGCATACAATCGGTGCTCCCGCAAAATCTGTAAAACAATACTCAAATGGACCTCGTGATCTTCCCGAGTCCGTGAGTACACAAGAATGTCATCCACGAAAACTACCACAAACTGGTCCAAGTAATCGTGAAAGACGCGGTTCATCAAGTCCATGAATGCCACTGGCGCATTAGTCAAGCCAAAAGGTATAACAAGGAACTCATAGTGTCCATACCATGTACAGAATGCTGTCTTCAGGATATCCTCATCCCTAACCCGCAATTGATAATAGCCAGACCTCAAGTCCATCTTCGAGAAACAACTGGCTCCCCTCAACTGATCAAATAAATCATCTATCCTTGGTAAAGGATACTTGTTCTTGATGGTGGCATGATTCAACTTCCGGTAATCAATGCACAACCTCAAAGATCCATCTTTCTTCTTAGCAAATAAGACCGGTGCGCCCCACGGTGACACACTCGGTCGGATGAAACCTTTCATCCTCAAATCATCAAGCTGCCTCTTCAATTCTTCCAATTCAACTGGTGCCATACGATACGGTGCCATAGAAATCAGCACAGTACCATGCATCAAATCAATAGTGAACTTCACTTCTCGGTGTGGAGGCAACTCTGTCAAATCTCCTGGAAAAACATCCAAGAAGTCACAAACAATCGCTGGATAAACTTTTCCCACGACATCATCTTCTTCGGCTAGAAGACTAGCTAAGAAATAATCACCATGACTTCGTCCACGAACTCCATAAAATGATAAAATGTGGGAATCACTCCGATCTCCCACGAAAAAGAAACAGTCTCCCTCGGGAGTGAAAACTGTAACCCTTCCTCTGTAACAGTCGATCGTGGCATGAAATGAAGCCAACCAATCCATCCCGAGAATGACATTAAAGCTAGTCATCTCCAGAAGGATAAGGTCAAACACAAAGGTACGCCCGGCTATCACAATGAAACAATCCCACACAACTTGGCTCAATGACACTGAAACCCCAACTGGCGTATCAACATATAACGCCCGATCCATGAAACTAACCTCTAACCCCGATGCAAGTGCAAATGATGATGAAATGAAAGAATGAGATGCACAAGAGTCAAACAAAACACGGGCCCAACAACCAAACACTGAAAATATACCTCGAAGAACTGACGGTCCAGAAGATGCATCGGTCTATGCCAGTGCAAAAACACGTCCCTATGGTACCTGTGCCTGAGGACTGCCAACCTGAACACCTAACTGCTGCACTGACATAGTAGGAGTATCCCTCCTAACTGATCGTGAACCCTGTGAAAACATAGTAGGCTGTGGTGGTGGTGGTCTGAAACCTGACTAAACTGTAGCAGATTGTGACGGCCTCTGCTGTGACCCTCTGCCACTAATAGTGCCTGCTCTCTGACTCGGATAATCACGAATCAAGTGACCCTGCTGGCCACACCCTGCTGCACTGACATAGTAGGAGTATCCCTCCTAACTGATCGTGAACCCTGTGAAGACATAGTAGGCTGTGGTGGTGGTGGTCTGAAACCTGACTAAACTGTAGCAAATTGTGACGGCCTCTGCTGTGACCCTCTGCCACTAATAGTGCCTGCTCTCTGACTCGGACAATCACGAATCAAGTGACCCTGCTGGCCACACCCATAACAAGCCTTCGGAGCTGACGAAACTGAAGACGATCTCATCGGACAACTGGACTTGTAATGTCCGGGCTGCTGACACTGATAACAAACAACTGCACTCCTGTCAGATCCAGCTGGCATAGGAGTGGTAGGAGCAGATCTTGTAGACTGTTGCCCCTAAAACTGAGATGGACTGCCCCTGTTCCTTTTCCAAGAAGATCCCTCTGAGGATGGCCCTGCACCCCTCTTTTGCTTCAATTGCTCTCTTCTTGCATCCTTCTCTCTATTGTCATCCTCCAGCATCAAAGCCCTTTCCACTGCTTCAGAGTAAACCTTAATAAACTGTGCCGTGATCAACGGCCTCATTCAATCATTAAGACCCGAGACAAACTTCCGAGTCTTGTTAGCTTCATCTCTCACCACTTCTGGAGCAAAACGGGAGAATGAGGTGAACTTGTTCTCGTATTCCGCCACTGACATGCTCCCTTGAATAAGGTTATGAAACTAGTCTTGTAACTCCCATCTTTTGGAAAGCGGAAAGTACTTCTCATAAAACAGTTCCTTGAACCTGTCCCAACTCATCTCTTCAATCTTGTACTGGTTAGTGATAGATTTCCACCAAACCTTGGCATCCATAGCAAACTTGTAAGTTGCTAGGATGATCTTCAAGTGATCCTCTGTCACATCCATTGAGGTTAACTGAGTTTCAACTTGATCCATGTAGTTGTCGGCTACCATTGGATCCGCACCGCCCTCAAACATAACTGGCATCAACTGAGAAAACCCCTTAATGATCTTGAGACGCTTCTGAGCTGGCGTCTCCTCAACTTGAACTGTAGGTTGTGGTGCCGACTGCGACTGAGCAGCAATCGTTGCCCTCACGACATTTTGCAACAAACGATTAAACTCCAGTGCCACAGAACCTTCACCCACTTCTACGGGTGCTTCAACATTATCTCTCCTTGTGGGGACAGTTCTCAGGGGAATCAAGTCCCTAAGAAGTGTGTCATCATCATTTAGCTCCTCCGGATTAGAGCTAAAGCTCTCGCCAACATCGCCCCTTGTTGGCCTAGGGCCAATTTCTCTAGGTTCCTCACGCCGTGACATCGTGCTATAAAACGAGAAAACGATTCAGAAACATGACACTAAGGTCCACTGTGGACGACTCAACAAGAATTAATACCGTACAACACTTAGCATGCAAGACTATGCAAGAAACATTTTAACATAAACAAGTAAGCAGTAAGCACATAGGCAGTTAAGCATGCTCATTTAAGTAAAATATCACGTAGCAAGTAGTCAAGTAAGCAACTCAAACAACATTCCATGTAACCCTAAGTAGGCCTCTACCCGTCGTCCTAAAGGTTTTCGAACCTTTGCTCTGATACCAAATTTGTAACGATCCCAAAACTAATGCCAAGAATTTTTTTTTTTAAAAAAAATTCGACATAACCTCCCCTAAAAATGGACCTACCGCAACCTGTTTAAATGCATAATTAACCTGTCATGCAACTAATTTCCGAATTCACGGCAACAAAAGATAATGATACAACCTACTAATCTAGACAATGCTTCAAGCTAGGATTATCCTTCCATTTATCAACAAGTTACATATCATCAAGTTCGCATCCCATATGTCATCAAGTATCATAAATGTATTACATGATCATGGTTCTTCAAAAGAAATTTACATCATTACACCTTTGGAATTTTACAAAAAATGAGGGATGAACAAAGGAGTAGTCTATTACAAAATAACAAGGAAAATGCTCCTCTAGCAACTTTCAAAGTTGGGGTGGACTGTAGTCCACCGGTTCTTTTCCAAGACCTGAAAAAATATATATAGATATAGGGGTGAGCATATAGCTCAGCAGAGACACTTAAGACACAAATCTTGTGTCCTTGTGAATTCAAGCAAAGCATAGGCCAATGGGAGATAGGGATCATACAACGTAGGGGATCAAATACAACATACAATTCAATTCCAATTATAAACAATGCAATGCAATGCAATGCATGTCAATGACACTCCCCATTTTCATTCTCAAAACCATCACTTTCAAACGTTAATACAGCCCGCCCTTTGGTAACCCCGCCGCGACACGAGAGGAGGATTGGCTAGTGTCCCTAACCCTTGGTAACCCCGCAGCGTCATTATGGGGCCCAACTAGCTCAACCACACTAGGGCGACTCCCTAGTCCCCTCTAGGCTATATTAACCTCCGGCCCGTTGGTAACCCCGCAACGACCGGGTTTCGCATAAAATCATTTCATCAAAAACACTTTCCCGAAATTTTCCCTTTTTGAAGCAAATTAATTCTTTCCCTTTTCCTGCCCAATGTTAATGCATGAATACCTCAATGACATACACAAGTTCATCATTCCATACTTTATCCAATTTAAGCAACATGGCATAATTCGCAAGAATAATCAAGAAAGTCATAACATGCTTATACATAACAAGTTCTAGCACAATAAACATATATAATCAAGTCCTAAACATGCTTCACATAGAACAATCAACAAATATAGTCACACAACTAACATATATGCATACATATCAACAATTCTCTAGATTTTAAACAACTAATCAAATTAAACAGCAATTAGAGGCAATTAACTCGCTAAGGTACAAGATTTCATGAATTAAGGGCCCCTACCTCAAGATTGCACCAAAACCCTAGAAAATGGGTCCTCAAATTCGAGCTCCAAGGAAGACTCAAAACTGGAAATTGATGGTATGGATGTATAGAGCTTGACACGAGTTTCGTTTTGCCTCAAACGGAACCTAATTCCAACAAGAAATGAGTGAGAAATCTAACCTCAAAGTTGAAACCAAAAAATAAGAGAAAAATGAGCTTACGGGTTAAGAGAGAGATGCACGAAGAGAGAGAAAGGGAATCAGGAAAATGAGACCAACTTTATGGTCTTGCCCCTTTTCTAAAGTGCCTTGTGGGCCCCACCATTAAATTATTTTTCTTTTACTTTTATAATACACTACACACACACAATAAATACACAGACATCACATCTGGGCCCCATAATGACGTTGTGGAGTTACCAAATGTCAAGGACAATGGCCAATCCTTCTCTCGGTGCTACGGAGTCACCAAAGGGGGTTACATTAACAGTTTGAAAGCAATGTTTCTGATTGTGAAAAATGGGGAGCGATATCGGCATGCATTGCATCTCCATTGCATCTTATTATTTGTGTTGAGAAGGATAACCCTGTTGTATTCTCCCCTATGTGGTATGACCCCAACTCCTATTCGCTTATTCTTTGTTTTGGATTCACGGGGTCTCATGAGGTGTGTCTTAGGCGTCACCTGTTGAGCAAATTGCTCACCCCACTATATTGATATTTTTTTTCGGGACATGACAAAGAAACGGCGGATGACAATTCACCGCAAGCTTGAAAGTTGTTTGAAGACCATATTGTTATTTTGTACCTTGGCCATTTTATGTATAATCATTTTATGGGGGAACGTAATTAAGTGATACATGGCCATGTAATGTAAGAATGAAGCCTCACTTTTAATTGATGTAAATGGGATTAACATAACTATGATGTATAGCCTTATGTAAAGGTAATCCAGTGATGTTTTATGTGATCACGATGTTGGTATTTTGGTCTTTGATGGTTAGTAATTTCATTTCCAATGACTTAGCCGAGTTTGAACCATTGTAAAGGTTCCATTTTCAGTTCCCACTTCATTTCCAAGTACTGCAGACTAGTTTGCAGGTTCTGGGCACGAAGGAGCCATTTCGGTCGACCGAAATGGCACTTCAGTCGACCGAATCAGCGAAATTGGCTCTCGGGATCTTCATTTCGGTCGACCGAAATGAGGTTCGGTCGACCGAACCTTTGACATGCTCTGGGGATCTTCATTTCGGATGACCGAAATGAAGCTGTGTGATTAAGCTTCCTTCTTCTCTAAGCTACTCTCAGGATCTTCATTTCGGACAACCGAAGCCCCACTTCGGTCGACCAAAATGAAGTTGCTTGGTCATAATCCATCCTTTCTCCCAGTGTTTGTTTGGTTCAATGACGGATTAGACTTTGAGGCTTACTGAGGGTGAAACTCAAGTGTAGTAACAGTGCTTTGACCTTAGAAATGCCGTGATAGACCGAGTTTGATCTAGGAAACCTCGGGTTCGAGCAAGGACCCGGCTAACGATTCGGAGCTCCGGGTTCGGGGCGTTACAAGTGCAACATTCACACTTATTTTTGTACTCTTGCACTCATCTTGACTTTTAATAACAAAAATGATAGTTATCCTTCAAAATAAGAAAACTGTGAAGCGTAAAAATGCTTAAAGGAACAAATATCCCTTTTCAAGAAAAGAAAGTTGAATGTAAGAGTACAAGGTAAAGTGCGAATATTGTTCCCTTTTCGAATTTCTTCAAGTCTACCTGTCATCTTCCGTTGACGCGTGTATCACAAATTATCTTAGTAAGAATCAGCTTCTCATTAGAAATGCAAGTAAAATACACAAAGCAAGACAAATTTAAAGTGACAAGTTCAATCCATCCTCCAAAATTCTATCATTTTTGTACAGAGTACGTCACCAGAGTTTGATAGCAGTGCATATTACACTAATCACTCCATCCTCCAAAATTCTATCATATAACAAGACGACAATGCATATAAAATGTCATTATGTTTTGATATACTTTATTTTTTAAATGCAAACTCTGCTCTCTTTACTCAGATCAGGTAATGGTGAGACCACAATATGGAGGTACTAGGAGATTACAACCATGCTGGATTCTCCAAAGGAGTAACAACTGCCTTCACCTGCAAATAGTTATGAAGGCTGTAGATCCCCTTTTCCCTTCCAACACCACTCATCTTATATCCACCGAAAGGAATTGCAGCGTCAAAGACATCAAAGCAATTAACCCATACAGTCCCAGCCCTCAGTGCCCTAGTCAAGGTGTTGGCAGTATTCAAATTTTTAGTGAAAACTCCAGCTGCTAGGCCATAGCGAGTCGAGTTTGCCCTTTTGATCACTTCACCAAGGTCCCTGGTATAAAATAAAAGGTTGCATGTTATGTGCATAACATATATGAACAAAAAATGCAACAGAAATGAGTTTTACAATGCTTGAAACGAGTGTTTTTTGTTTTTTTTTTTTTTTTTTTTTTTTTTTAATACATTTTTCATGACTAACATGGATACTCAAAATGCAACAGAAACTCAAACTGAATTGCTAACTTACTTGAACTTCAAGATGGATTGAACAGGGCCAAAGATTTCATCCTTCGCTATTAACATATCATCCTAATTGACAAAAATGTCACAACCCTGTTACTTGTAACTTACATTAACACATTTTAGCTGGAGAGTTTAGGAAGTCGGACTAACGATACCTGAACATTTGAGAAAACAGTGGGCTGGATATAGAAGCCTTTGGAGCCAAGTCTGTCACCCCCACATTCAAGGATAGCATCGCTTTCAATGCCAGATTTTATGTACCTGAGAACCTTCTCGAATTGCTCTGGATCGATCTGCGATTGCCATAAGATATACAAATTAAAATTAATGGACAATTGTAGGGACCTGATACACTTTTAGTTAAATGTAAATCACACAAAATGGATTCAATGACATTATTAAGAATTCAATGTTCTGTAGGTATACAATGCATTGGGTATGCAGTACAATTTCAATTTGTTTAAAGTCTTATAGAGAAACTATTATGTAGCAAGGACACATTTCTCATATCCAAAAAAGAAAAAAATGTTGTACTTTTTTCTTTTTCTGAAATTGAATAACAAAGAATAAGTGCAGCTACCAAGAGTGGTTTCCAAGTTGAAGAAAGAAAACAAATCTCTCGTTACCCTGCATTTTTGTGTCACTCTAGATTTTTATGTAAGCCTAATTTGACAAGGTTATTTCCAGCATCAAGAAGTGTTGGAATGAGAGCACTTTTTCCAATCAAGTAATGTTCATGTCTCAGAGAGAGAGATATATGCACCTGAGGACCTTGTTCAACACCCTTTTTGAAGGGATCACCAACTACACGTCTAATTGCACGTGCCTTTGCTTTCTCCAGAAATTCATCGTACACACTTTCATGCACAAATGTACGAGAACCAGCACAACAACATTGTCCCTACAGTTAGCCAAGCATCTGTTATCGATGTATATCCATCATAAAAAAACAGATTTTGGGGGGTATTTATTAAACAAACCTGATTAAAGAACAGAGCAAAGTGTGCAAGCTCCACGGCCTTATCAATGTCAGCATCCTCACAAACAATGAATGGAGATTTCCCACCCAGCTCTAATGTTACCGGCTTAAGATTGCTTCTTGCAGCTAATTCTTGTACAATCATACCAGTATCAGTTGATCCTGTGAAAGCAATCTGCAAACAGAACAGAAATTTAAGAGTTGGAACATATTTTCCCTTGGAGTTATGTCCAAAATAAAAATTAGTGGTCTTGTCAGATAAATGGTATATTGCAAGCAGACCATAAGATTAGTAGCCTCTGGTTATGTATTAGGACAAGATGTCAGGCAATTCGAAATAATATTTATAATCACCATCCCAATTAACAGCTATAATTGGACCGGACTCAAAGAACTTAACCCAAGGTGCTACAAGCTTTACGAATATTATTTGAGCAACTAATTGAAAAGGTAACCAATATGTTCAACATTATTCTAGCTTTGCAGCAGAGGAGGCTCAAAACCACATGTAACCTTTGCTCACTTGAAGTGTATTGTCAGACCAGAATGCAACTCTTTTCATTTAACATGTCAAAAGCAGCTTTGAATATGCATTTGCTCAACATATTTATTGCTACTAGATGTTTAATAAATTTCTCCTCTGTTGATCCATCTTATGCTACTGTACCAACTAGATGAAGAAAATCATCTGCCTCATACACAGAGAGATTTGGAAGCACAAATGTTCACTGAAACTTTGAAAGGACCATAATAGTGAATGCCTATTTGATGTTCCTATATTATGTTTCTGAGTCACATTCTGCAGCATCATCTCAGGGCCTCAATTCTTACTCTCTCAATGAGTTTGAAAAACACCTGGAAATAGAACTATACCAAAGTAGAATTGATTGAAAATTGCATCGTTATATTTTCTCACGCAAAATTAGGGAAAATGTTGTCTCCAGAAAACTCAGTCATGTTTATTTATTAGACTTTTCAGTACTTTGCAGCAAGCTTCAGCCTAAAATAAGCCCAGATTTTATTTTTCATAGTACATTGCCCAATGGCCCCGGCTCAAATTATCTACCACAACATCATAAGATACTTTCTTTCACTATTCTCTATGGCTTGCTGCATCTTGTTACTTTTCGTCTCTTGGTGTTTTCACAAGTCTGTTAAAGCAATAATAGCCACAAAACATGCAAACAACTATAGCCTCTCCCCTGAACCATTCTAGTCAAAACTCGAAATTAATGTGTTATCGTGTCATTTTCATAGGAAAGAATGAAAAAAGAGAATTCATGTGGCCGACCCATCCATTTGGAATTAAGGCAAGGATGAGGATGATGATGTCATTTTCATCCATCAATAAATTCAGGACTCTCATACAAGATAATTGGAAATTTAATAGGCATAACCATGATCACATATTCAAATTCAAAAGAATTATATAAGATATAAGCTTTTAAAGACCTTGTCCACGTCCATATGACTAGCAAGAGCAGCACCTGCAGTTGGACCATAGCCAGAGACTATATTTAGAACACCAGGAGGAAGACCAGCCTGTTTCACAAAAAATGCCCATTAGACTGGAAAAAAAAGGAACCTAAAAGAAAGAACCAGATACATTATCTGAACTAATCATCAACAGAAAATCGAAGAAAGTGAAAATTAAGAAGGGGGCATGCACTTAAAAGGAAATTGCAGCATCTATCTTCCATTTATATCATATTTGACCAAGTATTGCAAAACAATCATTCACATTCTAGGTCAAAATGATTAGTCTGAAGCCTTAATACTGTAACTCTAGTTTGCTATAGTATACAGGTATTAGAGTGCATTCATCCAATCATTTGGCCTGTCCTATGTTCATGACTTTGCTTGACAATGTCCATAGTACACTGCTAAAAACCATAACTTCAAAGTTTAAATGATTTTACTGATTCCTTGACAGATAATGATAAGTATACATGTTTTAAAGTGCTTTCACGGCACTTTTTTGTCCTACGATAATGGCATCATGTAAAAGAATTTATTTGACCATGCCATGGTATGCTGTTATCACCCATAAAAACTTACAAGCCTAAATAATTTATTAATATATAGACATATAATTTATTAATATACCATTTGCTACTTTTTAAATAAATGACAATCAGTCACATTTAAATAGCTTGAACCTACCTCATGGAATAGCTTTGCTACATATAAAGCAGTCAATGGCGTTTGTTCTGCAGTCTTGAGGACAATGGTATTTCCACATGCAAGCGCAGGCCCAACTTTCCAAGCAAACATGACAAGAGGGAAGTTCCATGGGATAATCTGTCCCGCGACTCCAATTGGTTCATGCAATGTCTGCACATGATGCGGTCCATCAGCCTGAACTGTTAGACCATGGATTTTGTCCGCCCATCCTGCATTGTTTGATGAGAGAATTTTTAGGAAGTCAATTAATGGAAATTTACAGAAATATAACTGCAAGAGTATATGACATCGAGTTTATTAGTGCTGTTACCAGCATAATAATGAAAAAGACGCACAACCAACGGAATTTCAGATTTTGCAGCCTGTTCATAAAGCTTCCCATTATTCCATGTCTCAAGAGCTGCAAGCTCATCATTGTGCTTCTCAAGCAGATCAGCAAAGCGCAGCATTATTCGTGACCTCTCCTGAAAGCCAAAGTGAAAAATTAAGAAGAACGATATACAACCAATCACAAAATCAGATATCACTCGTAGGCAAATGTAGCAAAGTAGAAATATAAGAAGAAGAAAGAGGTTCTCACATAAGGGGTCATTCTAGGCCATGGTCCCTCATCAAATGCCTTGCGAGCAGAAGCCACGGCACGGTTTATATCTTCTGCATCACCTTCAGCAACATGAGCAATCACTTCTCCAGTCCGAGGGTCCAACGTTGGAAATGTTTTTCCTAGGACCAAAACAAATGCCCAAATCAGTTACTCTGCCATGTGTTTCTACAAAAGTTATGCAGTAAAATTTTATTACCAGATGCTGAATCCACAAATTGGCCATTGATTAGAAGCTGGGTGTAATTGATTTGAACAGGTGGAGTAATTGGTTCCTCTGCCACTGCAGCTGTGCTAAAACTGTGGGTGGCCCTTCCCAAGCCAGAATTTCTACCTGAAGATTATAGTTACAAAAATTAATTTATATTCTTGGTAAAAAAAAAAAAAAAAATTGTTGAACTTGCTATCAAAATTAAGAAAAATACCGTAGACCAATTTCGAACAGCTGAGAATTTTACATGAGAGGAAGACTTTTTATCCGGGCATATGTGCATTACATTTAAAACATAGAATGCAATAATAATGGACTAGACAGAAAACTTGGAAAAAGAAAAGGAATTATTTGTTAAGTTGATTTAGTAATATATTACTCTGCATGATCAAATTTTGTTTTATCTCTTTTTCTCTCATATTTCAAATTTTCATTTTTAAGCTCCCCAGAGTTCATAACTCCATTAACATACAGTTTTTATTCCAGACTTTGTATAGTCATCCAAAAATTTTGATTTCAAGTACAGGGGACACCACTTAAACCCTACTTTGCTAGTTTTTTAAACCCTTGATTTATTAACTCCCAAAATATGTTTTATTTGTATGGTTAATATGTCATTTCCCAACCTTATCTAGTTTATCTGTGTCTTGTGAGAGAGACAGAGAGAGTAGTGATTTCAAATTTTCTTTTTTAAGCCCTTCAGAGTTCACCAACTCAGTTATTTATACAATTTTTATTATGATTCAATAATCATCCAAAATTTTCATTTCAAGTGCAGGGGACACCACTTAGAAGTTGATTCAATATATCAAATCATATATAAACTTACAAATATATTTTATTATATGGGGACCAAACTTACATGATATTAAATCTCAATTGCTTCAAAGACTCGGCAGACAGAATGTCTAAATTAATTAAAAAAACAAAATTTAGACAACCAAACAATAAATTTGCAAATAATAAGATAAAGACATAACAAATACCATACATATCAGATCCATTAGAATTATATATATATATATAATTAAAGGGGTAGAGAGGGAAGTAAACAGAGAGTTGGAAATAACATAAGACCGGCCATCACTGAAAATGAGAAAAAGTCATTAATGAAGCTTCAAAAGCCCAAAATTAAAAGCATGCATATATGTATACACACACATATATTTATAAACTAGCACACAGATCTTGGAGAATATGTGTTTATGGAGAGAGAGAGGTTGATAAGTAGTCACCTAGAGAAAGAGAAAAAGAGGCAGAAACTGCAGGAAGGAGAGGGTGAGAACGAGAGAGGAACGAGGAGATTCTTCGAGCTGCCATGGCCTTAATCTTATCAACCCCAAAGCTTCTTCTCCTCCAGATAAAAACAACAACTTATAAGAGACTGTGTGTGTGTTTAGTTCAGACTTCAGAGTCCAGACAAGAGCTGTCAAAAGTACAAACAAACAGCTCTTATTTCTCTATCTAAATTGCCTTGTTATGGGCATTTTAGGCCACATGCATTGAAAATACATTATTAAATTTATTAAGAATCATTCCCTGATTGTGAGCTCACATCCTAATGAATCGCAGTATCAAAATACTCGTACAAGCTAGAATATTTAGAAACTCTCGATTTACTACTAAAAATAAAATAACAATATATGCATAAATTCTTGATTTAGTTGGTGAGGAACTGAGTCATGGCGAATTTGTGACATGTGTAATTTACTTAATAAATAAATAAAATAAAAAATTATATATATTTAGATTTTAACTTTTATTTTTTTATTTTCCATAAAATTCTTCTTTAACTTGTAATAATTTGCTTTAAACTTCTTTTTATTTTTATTATTTTTATTATTGCCCGATGCCTCTATGGTTCAGGGAAGATGCTAGATTTAAACTCACCTACTCATCTAACTTCTAACCCTTATTGTCTTAAAAAAAAAAAAATTAATTAAAAAAAAATTAAATTAAATTAATCAGGAATCTGATATCTGTCTACTGAAAGCAGAAAACTACTAAAATACCCATCCCATTAACACAGACATCGTTTGGACATATATATATTTATTGATATGCAAATAATATAATATATATGTATATATTGAGAGAGAGATTTAACAACCTTGAAAGCAGAGGAGAGAGAGGACTTGAAGTAATCAACTCTGCGTGAGATTGAAGGCAAGAAACAGAGCAATTTACTCGAAATACACAAGTCGGAATGGTCATCTCTCTCTCTCTAGACTCTAGCTCTCAGATTGAGGTCTTGAAGTGATAAACTGTGTGTGATATAGAAGGCTTCTGGGCAGAGCAATTCACATGTATGTCCAAATGACTCTCTTTCTCTCTCTCACACACACACAAACACACACATGCGCGTATGTTAAAAACTTAACGTCAAACTTATGGATTAAATTATTCATGTCTTTATCCATTACTATCAAAGAGCATCTTTGGAATCTTCCGAAAAAAAAAACAGAGCATCTTTGGATTTATATATGCTAATTCAATTTGGAGGATAGAGTTTTACATGTTCAAATGGCTCCCTGAAAATATAACTTGCATTAAATTCAAAAATAATAATAATAAAAAAAATATATAAGTTGCAATACTTCCTACCAAATATATTTTCATATTTTTATTTTTAAAAATCTTTTAACAAATTTACGTTACCAAACAAACTTTTAAATAGTATTGAATACACTCTAAAAGCAAAGCAGAAACATTACTTCTGCTTCGAATCAAAGCAAAAGTACAAAGTAATTGTAATTGCCAAACAAATCCTAAATTATACATTTTAATGATCTTGCGTCATACCAAAGGAAAAAATATATATATATAGGATGGTGTCTTCCTTAAATTTAAAATATATAAATATAAAATCAGAAAATCATAGATTTCTTCTCTTATATTTAAATTCAAAATAAAAATACTCGTCATTTTCAAAAGAGTGCAAATTAATTGCGTGCAAATGTCAAATCAATGATATTTTGTTTTTACTTATTTCCAAGTTTTATTTTACTTAAATTCCAGAGTATAAATATATATATAGATATATATAAGGATAAAATATCTTAAGTAATCATCATGATTGCGATTTGTGACCACCATTTGTGAGAGCAAGATGGTGAAGGAAGGAATAATTATTAGGGTCCACATGGATAAATTCTTAAAAGGTGGTTAGGGACAAGACGGGTTGTTACTAGATAATGACATTAAGAAAAATAAAAATAAAAATTTACTAGATTTCTCAAGTGGTGTTATAAGCTATTTATGCATTTATTACATTGCTAGAGTTCAATTCTATCCAAAAATAAGATACAATTTTGAATTGGTAGATGATAGATTTGAATTTAGATTTCAGGATAATGCTCTCATGAAATTTAAGTTGCTCAATACCATGAGTAGTGACGTCAACCTCTTAATTCAATAATTAAGATAATGATTAAATTTTATTACTTTATTTTGCAGCGATTTTAGTATTCTACACCCTGCAACAACTTCACCTTAAAAAAAATATTAAATAAATAAAAATTGGTATTCACTTTGAATTGCAATTTTCACTTAACTTCGAGTATGTGTAAAGCATTATTATCATGTGTTGTAGTTTACGATGTAAGAACACTTTTAGTTTGAAACTATAATTTTAATTGTGTTTGGTGGCACAGAAAATTACCTTTTTATGATAGAAATTTTAACACCATAAATTTTCAGAGTATAATACTACTGTATAATTTATGGAGAAAAAAAAAAGCATTGTGGAATGAAAAGTTTATAAAAGGTAAGATAACGCCAAAATAGGCATTAAAATAGTTAAAAGGTACTTTTATGTTGTTTTCCTTTTCTTTTTGGGTCATTGCATAGTTAAGACTTAAGACACTGCATATATATATATATATATATATATATAGATAGATAGTGGAAAGACAAAAATAGGTTTGTGCGTCCTTGTTTGGTTGGCTGGAATGCAATTATGCAAGACAGAGCACAAAATGGACCTTAAAAGTGACACAAGATTAACATAATTAATGCATGATAGTTGGTATGGATGCTTCATCATACAGTTGAGTAGTAGGGAATAGAATTACAAACAGATTAATATATATTATATATATATATAAAGAACAAAGGCCGATGTGAAAATTAAGGTTCGAATTGTTTTCTAGTCCTGCCATTGGAATCTCTTTTAAGTTATTTACCGTATATGTCACACATCCCAACGCCAACTTCCTAGGAATCTCCAACATTTTCTATTATCATTACTGCCCTACAAAATTATGGTACCTTGGTGAGTGCGCATGCACCCAAAAAAGTGTTAATCATAAAGTATTTGGTCCGTACAATAAAAGAAAAGAAAAAATGTTAACACTTTATTTATGCTTAATCTGGGAAAGCATCGCTATATGTGTGTGTGTGTGTGTGTGTGTGTTATGCATAGCAGATGTCTTGATAGTTGGAATGTCACATGATGTTATCATATAGACTTTCTTGGAAGTATCGTTTAAAGGTTTTGAGAGTTGGTAGGATCCTTGGATTAAGGATCTGATCCTACCAATTTTTGAAGAATTTGTGGATGGAGTCAATTGCTTCAAAAGTGGTGTTTTAATCTCACACCACAAAATTCAAAGGGATATCCTCCAAGCCATTTAAAATATACCAACTTTTCTCTTCTTTTTTTCTAAGGGGGAAAAATAAATAAAGATTCAAAACATTTTATGCCCTATATTTGATTGAAAGTGATAGATATCTTCTACTGAAATCTTTGACGTCATTGTATTAACCAAATTACCAAAAAAAAAAAAAAAAAAAAAAAAAAAGAAGGTGCTAATTAGCTTTTTAATAATTATATTTTAATACCATTATTTCCAGATTTGAAATAATCGTGTTGAAATTCGATTTAGTGTTGTTTGCGTCTACATTATTATGGACCACCAAAAAATTGTACAGTAGAGGATTCGTACTCCATGGTTTTTTATAAATAATTTTCTTGATTTTCATGCTTTTATTAAAGAATTTTTCACCATAGCCATCAACAACTTCCTTATTTTTATGTGCAAGTTCCATTTAATAATATAATAAAAAAGATATTTTTCTTAATTGATTAATAAGATGTAAATATAAAAAATTTAAAAACCCAACCCTAAGTTCTATTGTAATGTTTGGGAATATTGAATCGATAGCTTAGATTTGAAAATGAAATAAATTGAATTCAAAATTTATACTAATTTTTTTAAAATTTTAAATTTAAAATATTGTTTTGACACCGTTAAACACAACATTAAAACTGGAACTCTCAACTTTCTTATTTTTCCTAAAAAATAATAATAAAATAAAAAGCTGTTGGGAAGAGGTCAGTGGCAAAGATATTGAAAAAGTTAAGCAAAGAAACACTGCTCTAATGGCTGATTGTAGTGTAAATTATATTTCACACAATTCTTCCCACATTACATCGTGTATTGTGTGTGTATATTGTATATACATAGAGTCATAGTCACACAAATGGCTAATCCGATTCATCAATTTGAAAATGTGATAAAGTAAACGCGCACTCCAAGGATTATTATAATTGGCAGCCCCAAACCATTCATATATTAACCACTACAAGTCAAGAAGAAAGAAATTTCATGACTTAAATAATATTTCGTTCCCTTTCAATTGACTTAGTCCAAATTTAAAATGGCAAATGAAAAAAAAAAAAATGTAAAAAAACTCATGTGCATATAAATTTTTAATATTTAAAAATATGTGCAAATCTGAAAATAAATAAATAAATATGCAAATTATTAGTTAATTTTGACAATTTTTTTTTTAATGAAATCCCCCAAAATACTCTTAATATACCTTTAAAAAACTAAAATAAGTATTTTTTATTTTTATTGTATCTTAAAAACATTTTAAGTATTTTAGTCTTCAAATTAATAAAATATTTTAATTTGCTCAATTTTGAAAAATATAGAAATTTTGTTTGAACAAATGAAGTATTAATGTTTATTTGTTTGTTTATTTTTTTCAACTTTCCCTAATATAAAATTATTGTGACTACACCAATTCAAATAGCAATGGTTCGTCGTCCTCATCAAGAATTGTCTTGGAATCCGACTGTAGAATGGAGACAAAAGCAAAAGGTCTTTTGAATGTAAATGCATCACACCAATATGGTGAAGTATGTAGGCAAGATTATTCACTATAGAAATAAAATAAAATAAAAAAACCGATAACTCCTAAAGTATACTCCCTCTATTCCATATTAATTATTCACTTTAAAAATTATAACACGAATATACAATTATTGTATTGTACTCTTTTAAAAGTCCTTTATAAAAGGACATGCAATTAGGTAATATTTTAGATGTTGCATCTAAAATTTCAACTCTTTACCTGCTGTCATTATTAAATTATTATTTATAAATGTCACTATTCTAGACTTGAAAGACTGAATGGATAAACATGCTGTATCATGTTCTTATTAATGATGATAACCATATTTTGATGCTGCCATTCTCTCTCTCTCTCTCTCTCTATATATATATATATATATATATAAACAGAAGGCTTGGATATTTCTGATAATTATATGTTTGTGCTGACAATGGTGTTTGAATTGTTGATGTATTGGGAATCAATTTTACTGAGTTGTTCCAACTACCAAGGGTTCAGTTGTGCAGGCTCTTATTAGGTAGTACCAAATTACCTATGTTAAGACCTAAGAGTAACCCTAGACTCCTATAGAGACTCTTGTGCAAATTATTCAGATCAACCATGAAGAGGAGAGCAGACTATTTTTCACGTAAATTTTAAATATTATTCTAGAGGTAATTTCATGGGGAAAAAAATACTGATGTTCTCTCTCAACCAACCAAGATTTAGAATGGCTTATAGTCAAATTAAATTTTTTTTTTTTTCCCCGAGTAATTGAAATATTCATTTGGTTATATATAAACATAAAAAATGAAATTAATGAATAACCACGTGCCAATGAGTATACACAAATGTTACAAGCTGCCTACCTATGTCATCATATCATGGCTCTTATATCTCCATTCTGAATCAACTAATTTTCATACAAGTTAAATGTCCTCATTATTAGCAGAGAAGTCAGGCTCATTTGGCTTAAACAGCTTTGGCATCTGCAAGTTCGTGGCAGCAGGTTCAACCACTGGGACCTTTTGGTGAACCCCTTTTCGAGTACTTGATCCAAATTTCGAACCCAATATCGTAGCTTGAGAATGCTGTCCACCGTGGTCTGTTGCCGAGCTATGAGCACCACTGTCTTCGTATTCAGCACCCGAGAAGTCATCATTGTAGCAGCTCTCTGCATCAGAAAGTCGCATATAATACAAGCTCTCCTGTCTTGCCAATTCCTTGTTCAGCGTCCACCTTTTGTAACGTCTCCATGCAGCTTGTATGAAGCAAGCTCCCCACGTTCTCCATTGGTGTGAATAGTACCGGAAAGCATGTTGTAGTTTCTTGCTATGAAGACGTTTAAACTGATTCGCGACAAACTTGAGGTCTTCAGCTCGAAGAGCAAATGCTTCCACTTCACTAACTGATTTGACTGTTCGAGTTGATGATGGAAGGTTTATGTTTGAAGAGGGCATCAAGGCCCATGTTAACAATTCTTCGCCACAGAAGTCACCAGGTTTTAGAGTAATGGAATTGAAGAATCCAGAGCGTCCACCATTAGTTGTGGAGCTCTCAAGCTGGCCTCTGATAATAAAAAGCATCTCGTTCACTGGATCACCTTCCCGAACAATGTAGGTGTCTTTGGTGCTCAAGGACGAGATGAGGCGTTCGCATATTGCATCTAAGAGCTGATCATCCATTAATGAGAAGAAAGGAACCTGCAACAATAGAAGAACAGCTTGTTCAATGCAATGGATTTTAAACAGGAAATATCTTGACAATGATGGCGGATTAGGAAAGAAATTTTATGCTCTGTTTTGTAGGGAGGAGGGGTGAAGGGAAGAAATGAAAGGAGCAAGTTTCATTCATTTGGCAGACAGGAAGAGGGGATGGATGAGCCATCCTTCCTGGTCCACAACTTTCAATCCCTCCAAAAAGTGGACCGAAGGGAGAAAGGAAGAGAAGCAAAGCTATTGTATAAATTGTAATTTGACAATTCTATACTTCATAATTATTAAAGATACACTAATACTTGTGCATTAGTGTATATAAGGAGTGTATATTGCTAAAAAAAATTATAAAATCTCCAATTCCCTTCCTTCTAATCAAACAAAGAAAAGTGAAAAAGACACGTTCCCTTCCCTAGGATGCCTCATCCCTCCTCCCACCTCCATTGCATCAAACGGAGCATTAAGGAATTACAATTTTTTTTTTTTTCCTTAGTTGATAATCACACACAACGCCTCCACTGAGGCTTGAACCCTGACTTCCCTTTGGGAAGTAGGAGTCCGGCACCTTACTTCTCTAACATTACGCATACACCGTTAATATAAAATTGTCTGAGTGGAATCTAACTCAGTAACATAATTCAATATGGAATAACTCCGCTGAGAATGATCTAAAAGTACGACTGTTTGAATAGGACAACCGATCATTTTTTAATTGAATGGTCATATGAGGCAAACCCAGCGCACGAGGCTCCTACCATTGCGGGGTCTAGGAATGATCATATGCAAAACTAAAAACTCAGCACAAACTCAGGCAATTTGAGTTTCCTTATCCACGTGGACAACTCAACTATGTTAAGACTGCAGCTAGAATCTTGATTGAGCCGATCAAGATAAAGCAAGCGCAACAGAGCATCAAGTTGAGTTGCCTAGTGTCAGAAGAATGCAATAAATTGAATATTCTCCCACAGGTGCATTTTCATCTTCTCCCAGAAAGAAAAGTCCCACCGGCTTATTCCAGTAATCACTTCACTATTTTTGCCCCAGTAGACTATGTGCTGTACTCTGCTCATAATACACTACAGAATTGCTCCATAACAAGCTGCCAGCAGAAGCCATTTACTGCTGAAGTTGCATTACAGTGCAGCCTTAAGACTGATATACACTGTATATTCTTCAAACAATATCACTATACTATAACTTAGTTCAGCAAGTTGTCTTAGTCTCGAGTAAAAGTAAGGACAAAAAATTTAGAATTTTATGCTAGAACCAAATCAACTGGGCATAATAAGCAATAAGTCTGAGGAGTTTCAGATATTAGCAATTTATTTATTTCTCTATGTTGACATGCCCTTAACCATAAATTCTCATCATAATAGTGGAATCCCACACCAGGGGGGAGGGACTTACACGGCGGACAAGTGCCAGACAAAGATGCCTTTGAATTTGACGTCGGAGGTCCAAGGGTAAGGCACGCAAAATATCTTCTTCATCTACTCCTCTTGTAGCAAGCCATTTATATTGAACAAACCGGCGGACACGATCTTGCAGTTCTGGAGGCAGTTGACGGTGCCTCATCCACTCCTCTGTATCTCTTCGTTTAACCCTCCATTCTTCAAGTCTAGCTGTCGTAGATTGCAGGTAGCTCTTCATGTAACAAGAAAGTTAAAAAGTAGATTAAACCAATATTAAATTCATTTCACCTGACTTCAATAAAAAGGTGTGACAAAGGAAAACATTTCTTTCTTCCCTCAAATTCAGCAATAAGACACATATTCTAGAGTAGCACTCATCAACCGTGCACAAGCCTTTGGAGCATATGAAGTGAAATTTGTGTGTAAATGAATTGATTAATCGCATTAGGATCACAAACTTAGAAAGGTAAAACATACATCATAAACAATTTACATCAGAACTAAAACTTATGCTGCAATGCCTAACTGGCGATCATCTATCTGGTGTGGAAGTCATTGTAAAGCTTAATATAGAACAAATATACATAATCAATCAAGCCTCTTTTATTTATTAAATACCAGCTTCTAAATCTTCACATGCAAATTTACGCTACATCAATGAAATAAATCTTTAGTAACATAGATTAAGTTTATATCGTATAAGAAAATAGAAGGACAGGTGCGTCTTGAGTGCTGTGTGATTGATAAATGGTTATAAAAAAACAAGGGTAACTTATGTAAAGCAACTATAAGGCTGGCCATTGCTTTATGGCTTAACAGATCAGGTGATCAGGAAGCATGTCTGTAAATTGAACATAATTGAAATGAAAATGTAGAGAAGGATAGATGGCAAGAAGAGACAGAAGATTGACAAAATGTGTTCATGAGATGCATGAGGTGGCAAAAATTGAGGATAGGATAAAAGAGATCAGCTGCATGTTTAACTGAGATAGATGATAATAATATTGAGTAAAATGATTCTAATTTTAACCATCACAAGGACAAGGGTTGGGTTTAAAAAGAAATAATTCGGTCTAGCATACAAGAAAAGATGTGAAGATAAAGGACTAAAAAGTTGATATGGCATTAGACACAACAGAATAGGAAACATGGAAAAGAAAGATTACTATAAGGCCTTGTTTAGCAGATTGTTAACTTTTATAACTCCACAAACATCGTGTCCTGACTATTTGGAGTCCGCTACAGGAATCCTATTTTGTCATACCTTCAATTAAATCACGTGCAATTATGTTTTCTTTAGTAACTCAACCCACATTAGTTATGGTATTGCTCTTTCCCTAGTATTTCCCTTAATCTTTGTAGTGGCACCCTTTCCACTGGTGCAATTATTGGTCTTTGTTACATATGACCAAACCAAATTAGTCAATTTTTCACTCATTTTACCTCTAATGGTGCTAATTCGACTCTTCATGGATGTAATCATTTTTTTATTTTCTCCTTTCTTGTCTTACTACCTATCTATCTCAACAGCAACATTTCAACAATGCTATTTTTAGGAACTTACTATTTTTATTTGTCCACTATTCTACAAAATGAAATAAGGTTGGTTCAATAACTATTTTATTAAATTACCTTTTATTTTAGAAGTATTCATCGATAACACAATATATATTTATAAAAAAAATCGATAACACAATATACTAAAATTCCTCCATTTAACATTTGAACTAAATTCTATAAACAACCTCCTCTCCAATCTATCCATCTTTGTGACTGATCGAGCATAGGTAAGAAACTATTCACTTTCTGATACCTCTTGACACTCTATCTTCATCATATTCAAACTTAAATTTTGGATTTCACTACATTTATTTAATCCTAATTACAGTAAACCACCTGCAATCTAGAGTTTCTCTCCAGGCCCCTAGTTTTATTTGCACGTGTACCTGCTATATTTTATCAAATAAACCAATATCATCAGTAGCACACACCATAAAACCTGATCCTAAAGAGTTATCCCAGTTCATTCCTAAACAAGTAAAAGATATGCATAATGTTGATCCGTTAAATAAACCTACAGTCCTGTTTCTCCTATAGTTATTCTTGTTGTAGTCATATTGCCACCATTCATGTACTCTATTATGTCAATATATCTATTGCTGAATCCTTCTCTAAAAGCCATTATATTATCTATCTAGGGACCCAATTATAAGCTTCTCCCAAATTCAAAAGCTAGACAAAAAATTTTCTATTTTTCTCTACAGCTTTGATTGGTCTCCGCTCAATTACTCTCACATAATTTTATAGTATAACTAATTAATTTAACACCACAATATACTATGATTTATCAATTTCACTTATGCTACTCATGTGTGACATGATTTGATATGATAATAGAAAAGATTCTCTTCAAGCAAACCGGTCTATCCTATGTGGCTTAAACAGTGGTTGGAAGAAAAACCAATTTGGTTAGGGATCCTATGTGACAGATGGATAAAGGATATATCTACAAAGATAAATAAAAATGTCAAGTCACGTCTATTCTTTTCAACAATACATAACTTATAAACTTTGAATATCACCCTTACTCTGGAGTATTGTATATTGGTATTAATATACTTTTTCATCACTCATCATGCATTTGATTAGATACTATGATCTTATTAAACGATTTTATTTACGAAATACAAATCATCATATGAAAAACACTTTCAAACTCCTGACATCTAGTCCTTTCGATCTTCCTGTTTTTATCTTCCTCAGTGCATTTTTCTTTTTTTACTTGGTATGCCCAAATCCTCTGGGGAGGGGGGTGGGTTGGGTTGGGGGGGATTCTTCAAATTTCTTTAAGGTTAGTATATCCTCCAAACCTAATATTCTTATACAATTTCCATTCAACAACTTCCCAAGTAACTTTTTTTTTTTTTTTCTTCTTCTTTCCATCAAGACCTTTAGACCCCTCACTCTTAATGCACTTAACATCATTAAAATTTCTAATTTTCCTGTCCTTTAACTTGGCAAGTTTGTGTATACTCTTCTCCTCATACTTTGAACCTAATTTAGGACAAACATCATTGTAAGCTCGGACAGTTAGTACCTCTTAATACATCGTGTTATATGCTGTTATATGCTCCCCGATTGATGATTTATTTGATCTATTGGACTCTGTTGGTCCTTAGGTCTCTTGTTTTTGTGTATTAGGGACGCGCTCCCCTTTTGAACGCTTTTCTAATATATTTTTACTTATAAAAAAAATAAATAAATACTTCTTGTCTCTTACAACCTTCTTAGACCCTTCTTTGCACATTTATATTTTTTCTTTAAAATTTGCTTCATTTCTATTTTTTTCTAAATAATTTTGATACTCCATTTCATTTTTATAATGGTTTAACATCCTAACCTCTCCAAGAACATCTTTTGATATTCTTTTAATAGATTCACCTTCCTATCCAAATAACATAATTTCATCTCTTAAATCCAAATTTCTTCAAGTAACATCTCATTCTTAAATAATTATAGTCCCCTTGTTGATACCACTTAGTTCTTGAGTTTTTAATATCATTTCTCCTTCTTAATGTCCTTCGTACTTGCATATAAAAACGTCAACCTATAATGTAATTAGCATGCTAGTCATTCTACTCACCTAGTTGGAAAAGGAACAATCTAACTCCTATTTGATCCACTTTTAAAGGTTACCAAATGTTCATTATGCTTCTTAAAATATGTATTCTCTATAATAAGATGATTACGCCATTATAAAGTTTAGGATAGCCTCAAAGCATCAATCCTCACTCTAAATCCATTTCCACCGTGCTCAATCTCATACCCTCCACATTGTGGAGTCCACAGAACCATCAAATTCTCAAACTAAAAATATTTCTCTCCTTCGAGTATTCCTGGACTTAGGGTGCATAAGGAAAAATTATATTAACTATATCTTCTCCTAATACCTTCTTTTTAGTAGCAATTATCACTATAGAAGGGGCATTACTCAGTATTGGTCCTGCAGAGGGAGGACTCAAGATAGACCTACTCTTTGATATTTCATACAATGGCTGCACTGAGGCACGAACTCACACCAATAGCACTGACGTTCAAGTGTTAAACCGCTGAACCAAGCAATGGCCCTCTAGTAACAATTACCAGTACTTCTTTTCTATCCTTGTAATATATAACTTTTAAACTAATTATAAGTCTAACTTCTGGAGTAGACCTCATATCCTACAATTTTTAAATTTTCCTATCTCTTCTACCCACTTAAGTTCATGTAAGGATATGCTATGCTGACCTTCCTTCTAATGATAGTGCCTACCAACTCCATCCGTATAAGGGTCAATGTTTTTATCTTCGAAGTTGTTAATTTAATCTTACTATCATAAACCAGTTTCTTTACAAGCATCAGAATAGTGGAGAAACATTGTCCAAATTTTACTATGTTGGGACACTGATGTGGTGCTCTGTCCATCTCTTGAAGCCTCAAAAAGTTAATGCAATGATAATGCATTAATATTTATTTAAATATTTTAATAATTTTATGTTTATAGAGGTTTGACAAAGGTTTTATACCGGCTGTCAGCTATCTAATGCAACCTTCCTTCCTTTTTCAGGGCTTGGGACCAGCTATATAAGCTTATCTTTATTCTTGTAAAACAAATAAAATAAGAAAATTCATGTGAAGAGGTTTCATTCTAAAAATGGAAGTCAACAAAATAATTGCTGAAAAAAAGGATGGCAGGACAAAACAAAATAAAAGCTTTTTATTGTATGAAATTCAATTAGATACTTGAATCCTATTTTTTTCCAACTCATCCTTACCCATATTTCAACCTCTAAACATAGACATTACAGATGATTTGGGTGAAAAAGAGAAACAAAAGATAAAGGTTATTCTATGACCAAATTAATGAAATTAGACAACTTATATCATAAAATGATCTAACCAAATGTAAAATGTCTATTTTTAGAACCACTTTAGAGCGGGAAACCCACGAGGTAGTGTGGTAGCGTACTTGATTTCATCCTCTAAATTTGCAATAATGGTGTCTACAAATAATCAATGCTTACAATATGTTTTCAGTTAAGACTCAAGGCGACTCAAGGCAGAAAAAAGTAATTTTCCATTTCTTTCTCATTTATATTCCCAGTGTCACAACAAAACTACCATCGTATTTATTTAATGCCAATTCTGGCACCATACACGACACACGGTCCATTTTCTTTCCCATATCCCCCCTTTTCATCTTCAATAATTACCAATTTAGTACAAAATTGAATTTGTAGCATGTAATGGGGCTTGGTATAATAAAAGTTGACCAGGTGTGGAAGGCAGTCCCATCATCTAATTGGCCCAGTACTGCATCGCTGGAAATATGATCAGCTTACAAGAAGAAACATGCATATCAAGACATCACAGATTAGGGTGACCACAAGATACAAGAAGATTCCATCAATTTGGTCTGAAATCTTTGTTGAAAGTCTGGACAATGGTGGTATATTTAATCTTCTTAATAATTTCAGAGCCATAAAGTTAAAGGTTGTTTAGTAAACCAAAGAACCAGGTAAACTAAGAATAAGGCCAACTGGTTTTATTTGGATTACAATTGACGAGGCATTTCTGTATTGTTTCAAGTCTGTAAAGAAAATAAAGCAAAAAACTAGACTTTTTACAAATCAACCCGTGTTTTCTCTTCTTTTTCTTTGACAAACTAGATAACAAGAATTGGATGGGACCTACATGAAATGCTTATTGAGATTCTACATAGCCTCTCTACTTTTATTGATGAAAGGTCATATCTCATCACAAGGTTTATTGTTTTATAAAGCTTGAAAAACATCAATAGATCAGGGTGAATGACATAATAAGAAACCAATTTCAGAAATCATTGGTCTATATATATTATGAGAATTAGTAAAAGAATGAACATTTCAGTTCTAGTCCGAAACAATTTAATTACATTAAGAAACACGAATGTTGTGCTACGGAGTCTATAGATGTCACTTTAAATTATACTTTATCGTTTACTTATCTAAATTTGATGTAAATGTCACGAAGGCTATATAATTTTTGTTCAAGATTGGTTTTAGAATGTACTTGGGTGTTTCCAATACATTTGGAATTTGATAACTATGTTAGGATATTTCTGTCTATCATATAGAATTGTAATGGGAATGAAGTATACAAAACTCGTCTCAAATGTCGGCATAAATAGAATGACGGTTTTTGAAGGGAAAAAATCTAGATATTTTACTTTTCAGTTGCTTGCGGACTCAAACCTTCAAATGGGATCACTTTCAGCACTTCAGTGAATTTCCAAAGATATTTTCCCTTTGTCCCTCCTTCCATACACCTCTTCACCAAAAGCCATTTTATAATATGAGATTTACAAAACTAAACAACTTTATTTTTACTTCTAGTTCAATAAGTTACTATTTAGAAATACAAAATTATTTTAACAGCCTTCTTTAAAAACAAAAAAGTTTTGAGTTCCCATCTCTCTTAATACGTAATTTCCCATGGCAGACACATAGGTAGCTGTCCCAGCCAAACTCCATCAAAGACACCAGTGTATGGTAGTAGAAAAAAGAGACTGGTGTGCGTTGATTTAGTAGGTCAGTTAATACTTGCAACTTCTCTTCTTTTCTTTTCTACCTTTTTAATTTTTTTTATTTTCCTTCTCAGATGAGTGGGTGATGTAGGACAATTTTATTAGGTTATATATATATATATATATATATATATTAATTTCCAGGGAGTATAATTTTAGGTTTTTAATTTCCTTCTACCATTAGTTTCTTTATATTTTTAGTTTACTTAAACCAATTAGTTTCTTTTTGCTATTAGTTTCCTTTAGAGTTTTAGGGTTTTATTTATTATAAATACAATGTACTGCGAGAGCAAAAGTTCAATCAATTTTATCAAATATTATTTCAGTTGGTATCAGAGCCTTGTCGTACCCTGGTCTGATGGTAATTGATGATTTTGGTAGCAACCTCTCTCGTGACGTTGATCAGAGAGTGCAGACCCCTTGAGCAACCATGCATGCTCAAGAACAGTTCGTGGCAACTGATTTGGGATTGGTGGCAACCAGGTTTGTGTTCGCGCTGATGATGTGTCTCGCAGCCAACCAAATTTGAGTTATATTCATGTCTATCCACGTAGGCCTCCAGCCTATGTGGATGCTTTCGATGATGAGAAGATCAGATTTAAAGAAGTTGCGATGGATCGACGGGACAGAAACTATACATATCCGGACAATCGTAAGTTTCAGAAAATATTCGATTTACTTACTTTTACTTCTAGTTTTTGCGCTGAGGATGTCTTGGATTGGCTTAATGAAATTGAGTACTTTCTCGAGTACTTTGACATACCCGAGCATAAGCAAGTCCCTCTTGTAGCAATCATGCTTAAGAAAGGTGCTTCAGCTTGGTGGGAACATGTAAAGATTAATCGAAGGAGACAAGGAAAGCAACCTGTACAATCATGGTCAAAGATGAAAAGGTTGTTGATTGCTAGGCCAAGTTATCAGCAGATATTTTATCACCAATATCAAAATTGCAGGAAATAGAGACAGTTTGTCAACGAGTCTAACGATGGTGGCATCAAGGCTAATCAAAATTTTGTTAAAGCACCAAGTGGTTTTGATGAGATTAATTGTGGGCCAAATTTTATTGCTACACCTACTGCAGTTGAGGATGAAGTTGTCCACACATTAGTCGCAACGAGAATACTTGGAAAGGCTTCTAAAAACACATCTTCAATGACCACCTTAGAGGAGGTAACTGGTGGTTTGGGTGACGTGGAAGTGAAAGAATATGATAACAAGGACAATTGCATTGACTTGTCCAGCGTGAAGGCTAGGGATAGCTGCAAGCCAAGTAATGATGTAGACCCATTTTTCAAAGATACTGATGATCATAACTTGGAAGAGGTTGAAGAGGGCCGTTTGGTGTGTAATGGAGATCTAATTGAAGTGGGAGACCTCAATGATGAACGGTCTAGGCAGGATCAGTTGGCAGTTTCTAAATTAGAATTAATTGATTATTCAAATAAAAAGGAAAGGTATGTGGTGACTAAATTGGAAACTGGCAAAGTTACTAATATTGAAGACGTGGTGAGGTCCATTCTGGTTCAGCACAAGAACCCGTTTGCGAAACAAAAAGCACCCAATTTTGGTCTTTCAGAAATTGGTCTTGAGAAGAGGTCTGGGAAGTATATACTGGAGTGTGAAGGTATAGGTGAAGATATCTTCTGTGCTTCAATTTCAAATAACTCATTACTATGTGTTGCTTCTCGATTAAAGCAGTGTTCATCTGGAGTGATAGGAAAAAGCCAATTTAAGGATGATTTTGTCATTGCTAGAGTTGTTCCTGTTGGCAAAAATTAGCAGAAGTATTTGCAGTTGAAGGAAAAAGAAAATACATGGACAGGAAATCTGCAGCAAGCTTATGAAGCATTCAGATCAACCCGTCTTCAGTGGTATAAAATTTTGTTTATATTAATATATGATTATTCTCAAGGAAACTTGAGGACTAGTTTTTTGTTTAAGTGGAGGAGATTTATGCAGGACAGTTTTATTAGATTTTATTTTTTTATTTTTTATTTTTTTTATAGTTTCTAGGGAGTTTAATTTTAGTTTTTTATTTCCTTCTACCATTAGTTTCTTTATATTTTTAGTTTACTTAAACCAATTAGTTTCTTTTTGCTATTAGTTTCCTTTAGAGTTTTAGGGTTTTATTTATTATAAATACAATGTACTGCGAGAGCAGAAGATTCAATCAATTTTATCAATATTATTTCAGAATTCTATATGAATTTTCTTTTCCGTATGAATTCAAGGTGCCATATCTTGTGGATTCAAGATAACCCTCGTTCCTTGTGAAAGAATTTATGTCAATGGGGGTGGTACAAAGACATACCTGGATGTTGCCAATGAGTAGGGCAAACAAAGTTAGACCCGTGATGCAAATAAGACTACAAAATAGTGTTTCGAGAAGATAAGAACTTGCACTCAAATTCTGTCCGTATGAACTGCATATAACAAAAAGAAAAATAATTTATTAGCACAAACATTCAAAATGAAAATCCAACATATTAGAAACGAGTAAGTGATCAAGAAAAAGAAAACAAATTTATCCCAATCGATTTGATTAAGTGCATGCAGCATCCCCAATGGTGCAGGTAAAGTAAGCAAACACATTCACATATTTGCTGACATTATTACCTTGAGTACGCAAAAGGTAGCATTATATTTAATTGAAAAGCACTAAGCAATAGTTACCAGAATCAGATGCAAAATCAGGTGATACAGAAGTGCAAAAAATGTCCCAAAAACAAATAAGGGAAATAATTGAAGAAGGAAAAACAATTTTAACTTTTATAGAGAAATTTGAGTCAAAGGATAGATTTGTCTCCGGTCTTCTCCTCCTAGCACACTATGTAGGTAGACTGGACACGGTAACACCCATATAGAGAACTTACTGCAAAGCATAATAAGGAAAAAAAAAATTAAAAAAAATCTAGGGAAAAAAAAAAGTAAAAATACAGGAAACCAGAATGTACGTCTATTTAAGGATTTATAGAAACTTATGTGTTTATACATCATATTGAGAGGAAGGGAAGTAGGGCGGATGGAGAAGGTTATCCTTGTCAAAGGAAACTGTCTTTGTCCTCCATTTGTTTGTGTTAGAGTATTTAAATATTAAAGTTACACTCTCTCTAACAGCTTCAGCTTTTAGAGTAGATGGTGATTAACATGGTATTATAGCAGGTAAGGTCTCGAGTTTAAACCTCACTGTCACCTTGGAATATAAAAATGTGATAAACATGAAAAATATATTGATGGAAACATTCCTAAAATCACTCCCGTGATTCACTCATATCAATGAGTGATTTAAGGGTTTTAATCATTCCTAGTAATAAATATAATTTTTAATGGTTTATAATAACCAGGTTAAAAAGTTAATGGTTTATAATAACCAAGTTTGTGGTCCTAAGGGGGTGGGGGTTTGGACTCCTATTCGGAGGGGGTGGGATGATTTTTGCAAGCATGTTCGCTTTCGGATCAAAGATGGTAGGAGGATCAGATTTTGGGAGGATCTCTGGTGTAGGGAGCTTCCTCTTGCTCTCGCTTTCCCACGGCTCTATAGGATCGCTTCTCACAGACAAACCATGGTGGTTAACTGTTATCACCTTGATAACAGGAGACTGACTTGGGATGTTCAGTTTAGGAGGCATTTTCAGGACTGGGAGATTGAGGATGTTACTCGTTTTTTGGAAGTTCTGTATTGCCAGGTGATTATGGTTGGGGATTCGGATTGTTGGCTTTGGGTTCCCAACTCTTAGGGTCGTTTCGAGGTTAGGTCCTTTTTTAAGTGCCTTTCGGTTGATTCTGGAGGCCCTTTCCCTTGGAAGTCTATTTGGCGATCTAAGCCCCCCCCCCCCCCCCCCCCCCCTTAAGGTTGCCTTTTTCGCTTGGACTTCCGTCCTGGGCAAGATTTTAACCCAGGATAATTTGAGGAGGAATCAAGTGGTGGTCAATCATTGTTATATGTGCTTGTGTGATGAGAAGACAGTTGACCACCTTCTTTTGCACTGCAGCATGGCCAGAGACTGTTGGGATTTGATGTTTGGATTATTTGGGATCCATTGGGTTATGCCTTGTTCCTCTAGAGGGTTGATCGAGGCTTGGAGAGGTGTCTCTGTTGGGGTTCTCATTCAGGAGGCTTGGAGGGCTACACCTCTTTGTATTTGGTGGTGTATTTGCCTCGAGCGAAATAGGAGATATTTTGATGGAAAGAAGAAATCTATTTCTACGCTTAAGTTCTCTATTATTTCCACTCTTTTTTGTTGGGTTTCAGGGAGAGATTATAGATCTATTGAGGATATTATTGTATTTTTGGCCTCTTTGAAGGTTTAAGGCGCCTTGTGGCCCTTGTGTTTCCATGGGTTCCGCTCCCCTTTTGAGCGTTTTTATAAAATCTTATTTATCAAAAAAAAAAAAAAAAAAAGTATTAATCATACAACGAACTACACATATAAATATTTTAATGCTTCCCGTTTTGTACATATCGATGTAACTAAAATATTGATCATGTGATAGAAAGATTTACAATTAGAGGATTTGTATCGAATGTTGGGTAAGATTGTAATAATTCTAGGCATGGTCAATCTTGATCTTAAAGTCCGTTGTTAAAATGCCATTAATAATACTTTTTAAATATTTGAAACAGTGTTATTATATAATAGAGATGGTAGTAAATGAACAATTTTGAACAATTTTTCAAACTCCAGTTATTTATACTTATCAAAGAGTCTTAATAAATTCAGCACTTAAAATTCTCACAATAAACAAACAGTTTTTTCAATTAACAAATTCAGCATTTAAAATTCAGCTCTTAAACATTTTGGTGCTTAATTTTCAGTTGTATTACTGCAAAGAGAAGCATACTCTATAACATTTCAATTCAAGTCAGATACTCACATTAGAATCAATACCTAGCTTCCAACGTTGTTACATCTAATGTCCACAACTGATTTAAGCAAGAAGGCACATTCGTCATGGTTTGCCCAATCCGCTCGTCTTCTTTTTTCTTTCCTAAATGTACCACCTTATGTGGAACTGTGTTTAACTGAGTTTTGGAAGATATGAAAATCAGCAGTTTAGGTAACTGAAAGAAATGGCAGCTAACTTAATAGAGAAAGCTACCAGCAAGGACTATATAAGAGTGTCCAACACGTGAGGAGGACCAACTCCCCTACCCAGCTGACAATCTAGAAATAGAGTTCATAAATAAGTAACTTTATAGCTTAGGAACAAACTATGTTACCAGGACTCAGGTATGTGTGTCAAGTACGGGTATGTATCCAAGCGTTGGATGTGTCAAAACTCCAAACTGAAGATGACGTAAGCAGAAGCTATGAATGTTCACAAGGAACGATGAACAACTTTGAAAACACAAAGTTAAGAGAAAATTCAGAGAAAAATCTCATATTTATTGATAATTGAATAGGTGATTCTGCTTTTTGCATTACATGTATTTATAGTGAAAGAAAACCCTAAATCATAAGCAAACTAATTGCATCAAGATACCTTATGACATAAGGAAACCTAATCTCAAAAGGAAACTAACACTAAAAATAAGCCTAAAAATAAAGTGTCTCCAAAAATTACAAAAAAATAAAATAAGAAACCTAATGAATAAAAACTATTAAACATAAAAATTCAGAGCATTCCGAGTCCATTTAGACCACAGACAAAAATCTCGAAATAATCAACAGGCCTTCTATTAGCCAGAAAAACGGGGTTTTGAGGCTCTAAATGGTGTAATTTGGCTGGAAAACAGTATTACCTCACGGTGTAGCCGTGAGTATTGCTCGTTGGGCCGTTTTCAATAATAATAATTTTAAAAAATAAAAAATAAATAAATAAACTGTCATTTTGGGTAAAAAAACGGACACTTCAGCATTGACCTTAAAAATGTGTCAGCATGCCCGTTTGGCCCATTGGGTGTCCAAACAGGTCATATAGGCGTTGACAATCAGTTATTCAGTTCAGTTCTACATGAGACGAACACATGGACACAACTAAATATTCATATTATTTTATTTTATTTTTTATTATTTAGGATAAAATAATGTCTTTATGTAACATAGTGTTTAATTTAAGTATATCATTCCTTTTGAAGCAATAATACAATAAAATTGAATTATTTATGTGTTTTTTTAGGTGCACGTCCATCAAAAGTGTTGGACACATATCCCATACCCATGTCCGAGTATTGTGTGTCACGCACGGTTACTTCACCTACTTTTGAAAAGTCCATGTAACATAGGGAATACGAACAAGAACAAGAAATGGGTATTTCACCACTAAGAAGGATAATCAAATTGGGAAAAGAACTTCAACGGAAAAATTATTAAATTCAGCAAGAAATTAATCATCTGAGATCAAATCATACCATAGATTCTTCAAACCCCACCAAAGGCAGTAAAAATATTTATCAATGAATCCAGAGGAAGCAACATCCTCTTTGAAGGCATCGGTAAACATGCCAAACTTAAATTCGATTTTAGTATTCAAAGCATCACACTTAGTAAGCACTTCAGTGGACTTCGACCAATATTGACGTTCAGGGAGGTCAAAATTTTTACAATCGAGAAACAATGGTGAACAAGATGGAGAGTGTGTGCCATTATGCTCATTTGTACATTCTGTCCTCCAGCATGAGTACTGCCGCTCAATGGACAGTACATACCATGAAGCTCCTAAAAGCTGCACTGACAATTTAAATATAATGATAATAATTAAAACAAAATCCAAAACCAGAGTCACAGTGTTGGTAATATGTCATCATCATCATGTACCATAGTCAAGATTTAGAAAAATAAAGCAGCAGACAAAAATAGTGTAATGGCTGCTTACATGACTAGCTAGAACATAGAGAAGGAGATTGTATATAACCCCTGCCCAAGCAGTCTTAGTTATAACCCCAGTCGTTTTATTAATCCGTTGGTTCAGAGGGAAAATGACAAAGATTCGTGGAATATATTGGAGGACAATAACCAGAGAAATCGTGTGGTTAGCATGATGAGCTGTATGACTTTTCACTGCTGGAATTATAAACCAGATGACAATCTGCCAAAACCCGAAGAGAAATATTAAAGTATGAACTGTGAAAACGAAAAGAAAAATAATTTGGAAAGACCTCACAAACAGTCTTTACAATGTAACATTCACTGCCATAAAAACATCCATCCATAAAGCATCATTAACTTCCCTGCTTTATTTTTGGGAAGATCCAACCTAAGCGGAAAAAAAAATATCAACATAATTTAACTAAAATTCTGTACTTTCAATTTCACAACCAAGTTACGTTATGGTGTTCAAAAGGCAATAATGCAAGGTGGTAATAAGATCATAAGTAGAAATTTTCTTTCTATATATCTTTTATTTTAGTAAATAATTTTCTTTGTTAAAATCACTATAATGAGATTCAAATTGCATTTTTCTTCACATCAAATATGAAACTGTATGCCAAAAGCCTAAATGATTCATACAAATAATTTTCTTTGTTAAATGCGTCGTAAGAGAGAGTGAGAGAAAAATAGACAAAAGCAGAACATATACCTTAATTATGAAACAATATAAAACTGAAAAATAGAAGTCAATTGATAATAACAACACTAGTGACAATTCAGATGATAATGACAAATAACAAGTTCATATTTCCAGCATCCTGAATAATAAGATGCAAGCATATCGCACCTCCTAAAAGTTTTTCAACCTAGATTCTCACAAAGTCTAACAAGTAGAAGCAATGTCAGAGCATTAATTTATTTATTGTCTAATCATTTGACTTACTACTAAACTTCCTGCTTTAGCACAAGTGTAAGGAACAGTTCTACGAGCTCGATTACTTAAAAATCCTACAATCAAATACTAGGAATAACAGTGACTATAACGATACTATTATAATGATAACAATAATGAGAAATTGTATGGTAGCTGAACCCCAAGGATAAAGCCTCATAAAGACAAGACAGTGGACACCAACCTATCAAAGAGTGTAAGATTTCTACTTCAGTGACCTTGCATCAATCAAGTAGTTTTCCTTTTTACAGCGTGAGAAAGCCAAGGAATTTCCATACTCCTGCACATCTTGAAGGGAGGACAGTCACCCTAGGCTATGATACGTCAGAATATAAGTTCCTAATAGACCTACATGGGGTGTGAATAAATTTTGTGACTTCCCACCTAACAATATCTAATTTTCAAATTATTACAATTATATTTAATATAACGCAGCATTAAAACCACAGTAAAAATTAACTAGAATGACAGTCGCACACAAAAACACCAGAATTTACATGGACTGTCCTAGAAGGAAAAAAACCACATCATCCTAGGCTAGGAGAAAAACTTAATTGCTCTGGTTGTAGTGATGACATGGTATCACGCACTAATTATATACTGACACATAGTGATAGGACCCACCATAATAGATACTTTAATACTTATATGTCAGAGTATAATTAGTGAGTGATACCATGCAATTACTACATCCGGAGCAAGTAAGATTTTTCTCCTAGGCTAGACATATTAAATCCACTATGAGTCTATGAAGAAAGGTATTTTAAATCTATTACAAGCCTAGGTATCAGATTCTAAAACCATAGAACCACCTAGTTACATCAAAACTAGACTGATGCCACACATTCAACTACGAATTCTGCAGCCGCCGTTGATCCGCAAACCCATAATCCAACATGGTCTGCTATTCTCCTTGTGATTATATATCCTTTGCTGCAATCAAACCTTTTTTGTTTTTGGGTAAAGTACAGAGACACCCCTCAGGTTTCCCAAAAGGACACACAGCTGAAAGTTTGCCTATTTTTGGACAACCACACCCCCTTGTGAACTTTGTCATCCAAACAGAGCCTTAAAACATGTGAAAAGTCCATTTTACCCTTCACTATTTTATTAAATTTAATTATAAAATATCAAAATACTTAAATGACCAACTTGCCCTCAGCACCCTGCTCTCCTCTCTCCGTTCTCTCTTCCTTCATCCTTTCATTTTTTCTTTTTTATATATGCACTTATATATAAATATACAGATACATACATATATATATCCACACACACAGGCGACGGGCGGCGGCGACAACGGCGAGCTGTCGTTCTAGGGTTTCAGGTCACGATAAACGATGCCCATGGTATGGAGGTGTTCGAGAGCGCAGACGATCTCGATGGAGGGGCGGGGGCAAGTTTGCCATTTTTTACAGCGAGTCTGACGGCGAAAACGAATCTGGGCCTCTATGGGTCGATGGAATCGAAGGCGGGCCACGGATCTAGAGTCGACCAGTCATTGATGTAGAGGCGGAGGAGGTGGAGGAGAGGCGGCTTGCCGTCATCGTCGCCGCTCATCGGACTGCAGAGGCCATGGCCACTTCAGCCTCCTCAGCCTTGCACGTGACGCTCACCGGACTATACACATCTGAACCTTCTAAACCTTGCCTCACTGTTCAGTCTGTGGCCACATCATCATCAGATCTTGGTCCTCGCCGGCAATTTCAGTATCAGAGTTCGTGTCTACCGTTCTGTTTTGACCGTCCTTACTCGTTTATTTTACTGTTGTTCAGATCCTTACTCTCCACGCGGGGAGGCTTGATGGTGTCACAAGTGAAAACATTCATGCCCATGTTGTTGAATTTGGATTTTGTGATGATATTCGCTGTTGGGTAACAGAGCTGGGTGTGTGGTTGTCGGAAATTCAGGTATCCAATTGAGCACCTAATCAAAAGACCCAATTTCATATTGTTTGGATTTTGAGTTGTTGGGTTTTGCTATACAAAAAATTGTGGGTATATGTGTGTAATTTGAACCCCTCTGTGCTTGTATATATATATATATATATATACACACACATATAGATATGTATGTGTGGTTATGTGTGGTGGCGGTGGAACGGTGGAGGGGAAGATAGGTGGTGGTGGTGGTGGTGGCGGCAGAGAAAAGACTGCTTTTTATTTTTTATTTTTTTATGCATAAATTGTTCATAAGGGTAGATTGGTCAAATTTATTATCAAAGGGTAATTTGGTCAATTTCTCATGTCAGGGGTGTCCCTGTCCATTTCACTTGTGTGTCCTTTTGGCAAACCTGAGGGGGTGATGATGTACCTTACCCTTTGTTTTTTGTGTGATTTTGTGTTGAACTCTTGATGCTCTTCAAATATATAAATCCAACAATCTAAATCATGAGTCGTAACTCACCATTTTAATGCAAAATTTTAGATAAATAATGATACCAATTAACTAACAACAGAATAAAGTAGTAAAGAATTTGAGATAACTTAATAATCCAAAATATTACTATACCTTTAAAGAAAGCATAGGTCCAAAAAATTTAAACCTAACAACCTAAAATATTACTATGCAAGAGCATTGGCTTCGAAACACAATTGAATACACAACTTACTTGTGGGAGGGGAAGTGTTGCAGCGAGATCCATGACAAAATCCGATTTCAGGTAGCGAATTGCGATCCTCCCCGGATCCATAACAAGCTCACCCTTCCCAAAAACCCTAGAGCTGGGCGCCACGTAGGCCGTCCTGAACTTCATCACCATATGCAACAGCGAGAACAAATCGACGATCGATCGCAACACCGTGATAGAGATGGCCAAACCCATGTCGGTACCCATGCAAACTTTGCCTCCGATTTCGGGGAGGAAAAAGTAGACAGGGTCCAAGAAGAGGGCTACCAAGCAAGCCACGAGAAAGATGTGGTTCCATTTGTTCACGATTTCACCTCCCGGATCAAGAATCTGACCCCACCAGGGCTTATCGTGATCGTAGATCAGCAAGGTTGGTTTGGCGAAGTGGCGAATTTTAGAGGGCGTATGGGGACGGATGGTATTCATCTTCCATGGGGAGAGCAACGCAAAACCCTAGGAGAGAAAAATGGGAGTTGCAGAGAAGATGAGAGAGAAGATGGGAAACGGGATGAGGAGGGTTTGGGGTTGGTGGGCCCCAACGATGAAGAGAATTACGGGGAGCCATGAAAAAGCTGCAGAGTTTTTCGGTATCCTTGTGACTGTTGTGTCCGTTGCAATAGGGCGCCAAATGACGCCCAAACAAGCTCCAATTTTTGGGACTGTATGCTTTGTTTGGTTGGAGGGGTAGAAAAATAGACGGAAGGGTGCAGGGAAGGTGAATGAATAGTAAAAATGATGGACAGGGTGACACATTTTTTTTTGTTTGGTTGGAAGAAAGGAAAATAGAGTTTTTATATTCTTTTTACTAATATGTCCTCAGTATTTAAAAATTTAAAAATTCTATATCTATTCCAAATTTTTAGGAAGGTTAGAAATGAAAAATCGATATTTGTGTTAGTTATTATTTCTCTCTCTCCTTTTCCTCCCAAATTTGGACGGATGGAGAAATACAAATGAAACATCCTCCTTGCTTCCTTCCATTTTTCCCTTCCCTCCAACCAAATACGAAAAAGTTAGTTTATCCCCCCTCTCATTCATCCCTCTTCAATCCTTCCCTCCAACCAAACATAGCTAAACGGGTCGTCTGGACGGGTGGACTTTGACCCGTGAACTAGGGCAGTTTGAAAATGACATGATCCGAATCCAAGTTGTCCCATTCGTTTACAAGTTCTATCAAGCTAGTAGTGGTCGAGAAAGTGCCTGAGTTTGAGCTCAAATTAGCTAAAGAGTAACGATACTCATTCCCATTTTTTTGGGCCATGTCCAAATATTATGACATGTCATTCACTCAATTCATGAGTTGTAAAATAATAGTAAAATCATATAAAAAGACTATTTTACCCCCAAAAATCATCGTTTCATAATCCGCATCTTTCCATCTAACTACAATTTTTCCTCAAATTTATTCAATCTCTAAGTGAACTTATCTCCTCGTCTATTTGTTTACTTTGTTCCCTCCTCTCCACCCCCACAACCTCTTCACTTTCCTTTTGTCTGTTTTTCTTGGAAGAACTATAAAGCATTGTATGGTAAACCATGTCACAAATCCATTTTTCTTCACAAAATTTACATGAATACACTGAGTACAGCATTGCACGGACCCAATTTCCTTCACAAAAACAAGATAAAGCTTAAAGATTAGGGCTTATACGAGAGAGATGTGAAATCGAAGAGAGTCAAAATGGGAGAAAAATATAGTAACAAGAAGATTTGTTGGGGGAAAAAAATCAAGATTTCTTCACTGAGTTCTTTTCTAATGTTTTTTATTTGGGACAAGTCAGAAAGATTTCATTAACTGACAGAATCTAAAAGCACAAAATCCTTATAACAATGGGAATTACATCACCAAAAAACCATATTCTGTTTAAGTAGCAAACCATTTTCTTTGGGTTTGATGGTACTCTTTATTTTTACTAGATTTATTAAATTGAGTTTTGATAATGGTGGTGGCGGAGGGTTTTATATGAATATTATAGTCACTGATGATACAATGTTATTCTTGATGATTTTATTTGATTGTTGAAGATTGTAGGTAATGGTTTTGAATGTGTTCCCCTTCCGGCGACTAGAACGGTCAATTATAGGTCCGACGAAAATGGATATGTTATATAGATAGAGAGAGGGCAGAGGAAAGAGAGAAAGAAAATGATAAAAATAAAATAAATTATAGGCATAAATAAGAAGTGACGTGGTATTGCCACATCAAAGTAGGTTTATATTTTGGCTATTTTGATCCGACCGAGTATCTTTACTCTCAGCTAAAAACAAGCCAAACAAATTGAGTTTGATTGGGTGAACATAGCAAAACTTGAGCTCCAATTCAAAACTCTTTTTAATTAATCGAGCTAAGCTTGAACAATCATATATATACTTTGAATTGGCTCATTATTAAGCTTGAAATTCTAGTTCATAATGCTTGTTTTTGTCTTAGCATCCGCTTTTTGACAAAAAAAAAAATATTTTCTTTTCTTAGATAAAATATTTTTATTTTTAATTTTCGGTGTTTGGTAAAGGTCTAGGTCGAGTCCATTAGGTGGAATGTGTAAAAATAACTTGTTAAATATTGATGGCAAAGTTATTTTTTTTAGATTTTAATATATTTTTTTGGTCAATATTTTACCACAACCAAACATTAGAAAATAAATATATATCTTTTAAAATAAATATATATCTTTTAGAAAATAAATATACATTCAAACAAAAGAACCTTAATATAGGTATATTTTTCAGAATTAATTCAGTCATATTAAATTAGTTGGAATAACAAGTCTTAATTAAGTATAATTTACATTAAAATATATATACTCCGTATATGTTATGTTTGTATATAAATCCTTTCCGTGAGTAAATTATATATTTATAAATATATAATGATGTAAATATTTAATTACTAGCATAATTCGTGTATGATTGGCAAGTAACATTCCAAATGTATGTAGTTAGAGTTCCAACAAAATTACTTATATATTATGCCAAGTACTTTGCCAGGGTTTCACGAGTGCACTGAGGATATGATGTGGAGATGGAAGCCACATTAGAAAGTTCCATTGAAGTGCTCCGCGATGCTTAGTTAGGCAAGAGAAGTGGGATTTAGCACGATAGAGTTAGGTTGGTGGTGTTGACCTAGCCGATTTTCATTGACCTTTAAGTATGACAATTGGTAAGTATCAAATTGTTTTTTATTTTTAATTGATGGTTTTAAATATTTTACTTGGAAATATATATACGGTCTAACTTGGTAGTTGTACCAGTCAAACTATGTTATGTTTAGAATTACAACGAAGTATAGTTCTTGTAATTTTTGATTTGCCAATCCATCTATTGGTCTACGTGAAAAAATGTACAATATAAGAATATTTACTATATAGTATGCTCCATCAATGGACGTTCACATTTTTTTTTTTTTAAATTTTAAAATTTTTTTTTTTTTTTATGGCAAAATGAGAGTTTGTAAGTACCCTCATGGTATTGTATACATTCTCAGCTTACAACGGTCCAACTTGCCAATAATTCAAATTTATTTGGTTTTTTCTTCCATACTAAACTATTTTTTGAGAGAGCATTTATAACAACTAAATATACCTGCAATTAGGGTGATTTTAGTATGAAAAAATTGAATAAAAGAGATCATGCATAAAGTATTCTAAAAATTCGATTTCAATGGAAGTGAGAGATTCCTTTATTCATAAATGAAAAATTTATAGTAAACCACTAACACATAGTAGCGAATTGAGTTGAAAGTTGAGAGATTAAGGTGAAACGGATAATAAATTGTTACCTACAAAACATGTCCCTAGAGAATCAAACATTCGAACCATAGGTGTTTTTGTCTTTGAATCATTACAATATTGTTGACGTTCAATGGCTAGTTTGCAAGATTATGGGAGTAAAAATCTAGAGTTAAAAGAAATCGAGCTAGTATAAATTCAAGGGGAAATTAGGCATGGGTTTAACGCCAACCTTTATTTGATACAGTGGATTGCTCAGCTGTAGACTAAATTCCTATTTGATAAAATTAAAAAACAAGTATTGAAAAAACAAGAGAGTTAAGAATTGCATGTTTAAAGGTTGAAGTTTTGATAATTGTGGATTGAGATTTTTTGAATTTTAAGTGTTTAGTAGTAAGCGAGGTAATCATGACTAAATTTTTAAATGAATAATACTTAGGTCTTTATTAGTGAGGATTTATAATATACTGACTATTAATGTGGACCAATAATAAGTAAACATGTCATCTTTAATTATCAAATCAAATATTTGATTTGGTAATTAAAGATGATATTTATTTATTATTGGTCTACATCAATGATCAGTATATTGTAAATCCTCACCAACGAGAACTTGAGTCTTATCCTTTTTAAATAACACTTACTTTTTTTAAAGTGACGATGCTCAAATAACATTATTAAACAAACTTAATCAAATAAACACTTAATATTTAATAAGATAAACACTTAATGTATTTTCAGATTAAGTATTGAATTGAGTTATAAAGACTTAAATTCAATTTCTTTTATTAAAAAAAATTTAAAATGCATGACAAGTGATTGCTTAAAATCACAAATGTACCTTTCAAAAAATAAAAAATAAAATAACAATTGTATAACATAGCCTCCTAATACCAAAGTTTTTTATTTATTAGATAAATACTTACACACACCACAATTATTTAGTGCAAAGTTTCAATCCTTTCTATCTAAGACCTAAGTCACATAAAACTGAAGTAAGAACGAATTTAAGAGCGGGAGCGAGAGCGTAAAAAAGGTAAAATTAAGTTATAAATAGTGAGAATTTGAGCTGGATTTCGCGCGGAGCATGAGTGCGAAAACGTGCTCTGAATATGAGAACGACATTTATTGAGAAAGATTGTATGACTTAGTCTAAGATTATATAATTTGGACCAATCATAATTCGACAAACAAATAAATATATATTTATTCTCATTTTTATTTAGGTGTCGAATTCTAAAAACTTATAGTCATCTCTCCGACAGCATAGGCTAATAAAAATATAAAATTATTTAATGATCCTGATTAATCCCAACTCGACCGGTAAGTAAAAAAAAAAAACTACACAGTAGTAAATAAAACCGACGGATTTCCAGTCCGGCGCGGAGACAAATAAGTTGTTGGGATTGGAATAAAAACATTGCACAAGGAATGATCTTACATCGCTAAGGTGAACTGGTCTAGGAAGAAGTCGAGAGGTATTGTTCCCAACTTTCTTTCCTTAAAAAGAAAATTTTATTGTTCTCTCTTGCAGTTGTTAGAGAAACCTTTCTCATTTTCATTTTGTGGTTGCCCGAAGATTGTGGATTTATTAAAATGCTTTCTTGAATTTTTTGAAACTTCGAAATTTATGAAATGTTTGTTGGGATTGGAATTTATCAGTAGATGTTTGTTATTATTATTATTATTTTATCATACCCTAGAGTGTGAAGGTATATTTCAAAATTTGCGGTTTTACAAATTGACAATTTCGTTCTCACCCTCGATGTATTCTAGACCTAAAATGACAAAATAATAATAATAATAATAATAATAATAATAATAATAAAAGTTTGAATTCCATAAATTTCTCAAATTGAGAGTTAACCACCATATATATAGGTCATGACTTGTCAAATTTGTGGCCTTGTGCCCAGTGGATTGCGAACAAACAAGAGAACAAGTGGATTCTTCACTGTGGTATTATGGACTTCTCTCTCCAATAACAAGCAAGTCAATGGCCGTATAAACATTGGTTATCTTAGTGACTCACATTATGTGCTCGGATGCAAAATGGAAGACATGTAGTGCAGAGGACACATGCGGTTGGGAATATGCCATAAAAAGGGCAAACCCAGTGCGTGAGGCTCCCGGTATTGTGGGGTCTCGGGCAGGTCAAATGTACGCAGCCTTACATCCTTATGCGGAGAGGCTATTTCTTTGTTTTGGACCCGTGACTCCAGGTTACTATGGAGCAACTTTACCGTTGCGCCAAGGTTTGCCCTCAAATATGTCACTCCATAGGTTCTTTATAATTAGGAAAATGATGTTGTGTAACTAATGAGGTCGGAAGAGTTAACAGAAGTGGATGAGAGAGGAGGAGATAAGAAGACATGATGTGTTGAATGAGGTTCATTCGGCTTGTGTAGTCAGTCTATTTTTTTCTGCTTCTATATACCAAAATCTCTATAATTAGTATTGATGGATCATAATATTGGTGGAAATCTAGTGGATCGATAAACAACCAAGAGAACATAATGGTGTTATTTGGAAGCAAAGGCAACAAAATTTTGGTATTCAAACGACACTTTTGGTAGTTGAAGCTCTAGCAATCCATGAAGTGCTGGAATCAGCTCGCCTTAGAAGTTTCTAAGTGATGAATTGAAATGGTGAAAGCTCCTGCAGATTAGTTGATGTCCCAGACCTCTTGGTATTCTCTCCTCTCAAAGTATGTGGGGGTGGAAGTCTGATTTCTGCCTTATTGTTTAAATTTCACCTAGCATATCAGGTTCAAATATTTTGAATCAGTTAAATGTGTCTTATAATAACTTGTGAGAGAAAATACAATGGAGCAACTAGCTCTGTATCTGTGAACATTACTACATTTAAAGAGTCATGGATCATAATGTTAGAAAAAAATGGAATGGTGGAATATGAGTACTTTTACAATTTTTTTTTCCTTTTCTAAAACAATAATTCTAGAAGACGTGCTAGTTAAATTGATTAGGTTGATACTAGTGAAATTGATTCTGGTGGGGTGCACTAAGGGTTCCAGGCGTTTCAAAACCTGTGTCACTTATTGACAAAATGCCATTCAAATGAGACTTTTTAACCTCAATTAAACGTGTCTTATAATAACTTATAAGAGAAAACTCAATTGAGCAACTAGCTTTGTATTTTTGAACATGATTACATTTAAAAAATTATGGACCATAAGGTTAGGAAAAAATGGGATGATGGATTATGAGTACTTTTACAATTTATTTATTTTCTAAAACGATAATTCTAGAAGATTTGCTAGTTAAATTGATTAGATTGATACTAGTGAAATTGATTCTGGTGGGGTGCATTAAGGGTTCCAGATGTTTCAAAACCTGCGTCACTTGTTGAGAAAATTCCATTCAAATGAGACTTTTAAACCACACGCTAACTCCCCAGGTAGATTCCAAGTCAAGTCAGGAGTATTTTTTAATCTTGAATGAAAGTCTGTTCCTCCACTACCAGACGGTTTCTTTGAATAAAATCTATGATAAAATGTGAAAGAGAATGAATATGAACAACCAACACTGATAATAATTCACCTCTGTTGCGGTCTTCTCTTCCCCAGTCTAAATGCCATTCTGAACTTCTTCAGTTCTTCTCTTCATTTTTGATCACATGATCATGAATAACTTCATTGCAATTGCCGTGCTTCTCTTGCTTTGGTTTCTATTAGCAGCCACTTCCAACTTGAGCTTAAGTGATGGACAACTAGGTGTTATTTGCAGTGAAAATGAAAAAAGAGCCCTTCTAAGCTTCAAACAAGGTCTGACTGATCCTGCAAACAGGCTATCATCATGGTCTGTTCATCAAGACTGTTGTCAATGGACAGGAGTCCGCTGCGACAATGTAACAGGCAGAGTCATTGAGCTCCACCTCCGCAACCCATATGACACCAACAATTATGAATCTTACAAGATGTACAAGTTGGGTGGCAAGATTACTTCCTCATTGCTCGAATTAGAATTTCTAAGATACTTGGACTTGAGCTGGAATGATTTTGAAGGCATGAGTATTCCAAGTTTCTTAGGTTCTATGAGAAGTTTAAGATCTCTGAACCTCTCAACAGCATTATTTGAGGGGTCAATTCCTCATCAGCTTGGAAATCTCTCAAGCCTTCTCTATCTTAATCTTGGTGAAAATAGACTTTATGTTGATAATCTTGGTTGGATTGCTCGTCTTTATTCCTTGGAATATCTTGACATGAGTAGCGTTGATCTTCACAAGGCAACTGATTGGCTTCAAGTGGTGAGCATGCTTCCTTCCCTTTCAGAACTTCATTTTGCCAATTGCCGACTTGACAAAATGATTCCACCTCTTGGTTGTGTTAATTTTACGTCTCTTGAAGTCCTTGAATTTTCTGAGAACTTTTTCAGTTGCAAGATACCAAATTGGCTGTTTAATCTCAGTAGTCTTCTTTCTCTTGATCTGAGCTTCAATTTTCTACACGGTCACATACCAAGTAGTATACGAAATCTTCGCACATTGAAAAATCTATATTTGCAGGACAGTAATATCACTGGGCAAATCCCAGATGACATTGGCCAGCTGAAACATCTTGAATATCTTTTCCTTTATATGAACTCATTGTCTGGTCCCATTCCTGTATCTATTGGAAACTTATCATCCTTGAGGGTGATGTATCTTTCAAGAAATCAACTGCATGGCACTCTTCCAAAGAGTATTGGGCTTCTTCCAAATCTTGAGATCCTATTCATTGGATATAATACCTTAGGAGGCATTGTTTCTGAAGTGAATTTTGCTACACTCTCAAAACTGAAGGCTCTGGAAATGTCTTCAAACTCTTTCATCTTCAATTTCAGCTCCAACTGGTTTCCTCCCTTTCGAATTGAGTATATTGCAATGAGTTCCTGCAAGATGGGTCCAAAGTTCCCGGCATGGCTACGAACACAAACTTCTCTTAAGCAGTTAGACATTTCGCGTTCGGGAATTTCTGATGTAGCTCCATACTGGTTTTGGAATTTGGCTTCACATATGGAATTGGTCAATCTCTCTGAGAACAGGATCAATGGTGACATATCAACTGTGTTGCTAAATTCTAGTGTCGTTGAAATGAGTTCAAACTACTTCAAAGGTCAGTTGCCCCGTCTATCTCCAAATGTTCAAGTGTTGAATATGGCAAATAACACTCTTTCCGGACCTATTTCCTCTTTTCTGTGCCGGAGGGTGAATAGAAACAAAAACTTGGAGGTTCTGGACATGTCAAATAACAATCTATCAGGTGAACTTTCTAACTGCTGGATGTATTGGCAATCGTTGACCCATTTAAACTTGGGGAGCAATAAGCTGTCCGGTAAAATTCCTACTTCAATGGGTTATCTATCTAAACTCAAATCATTACACTTGCATGACAATAGCTTCTTTGGGGAGATACCCTCATCATTGCAAAACTGCACAGTGTTGGGGCTCATTGATTTAGGTGAAAATGAATTTACAGGAGTCATACCAAGTTGGATGGGAAAAAGAACTACTCTAATGGTTGTTCGCTTGAAATCTAATAAAATAACTGGCAATATTCCTCCTCAAATATGTCAGCTTTCTTCTATTATAGTTCTGGACTTTGCCAACAATAGCCTATCAGGAACTCTTCCAAAATGTTTGAGTAATATCAATGCGATGGCTGTAGCAGATACTTCAGATTCTGTTTATTTTGATGCTTTAGAGTATACGTATGACTATGGTTCCTACATCGAGACACTCTGGTTGGTCACAAAAGGGAGGGACTCAGAGTACAAAAGCATTCTTAAACTTGTTAGGAGCATAGACCTTTCAAGTAATGGCCTGTCTGGACCAATCCCTCCTGAGCTATCACGTCTTCATGCATTACGTTTTTTGAACTTGTCCCATAATTACTTGATGGGAAAAATACCAGATAAAATTGGAGACATGACAATATTGGAATCCCTTGATCTTTCGAAAAACTTTTTGTCAGGTGAAATTCCTCAGAGCATGTCTAATTTGACATTTCTTAATTACTTGAATTTGTCATACAACAACTTGTCCGGAATAATCCCTTCAAGTACCCAGCTTCAGAGCTTTGGTGAAGCTAGTTTCATAGGCAATGCTGAACTTTGTGGGGCTCCACTCACAAAAAACTGCACAGAAGAGGAAGAATCTCAAAGTGCAACTCATGTTGGCCCAGACAAAGAAGAGTCTGAAATGTTTTGGGTTTATATAGGGATGGGACCTGGATTTGCTGCTGGCTTTTGGGGAGTTTGTGGTGTTCTTTTCTTTAAGAGGACCTGGAGGCATGCTTATTTTCAGTTTCTTGATGCCATGAAAGACCGGATCTACGTGTCCACGCTGCTACAAATGAACTGGTTTTGCAAGAAGTTTAAGAGATTGGGCTGATGTCCAGTGAAAGGCATCAATTAAAAATTTAAAGGTATGGCTTCAAAGTTTCTTTAAAGGTTATTTGGTTCAAGTGTCTACTTCTTTCATGCTGTTTTAGTTATACAATAAATTGTGCACTGTGTATTTTGTATTACATTTATACAAATTAGTACTTCTAAATAATCATGGATTGTTAGGCAGATTGCAAACTGTGACCATTTTAGCACAAAAGAACAGAACAGTTGTAAACAAGAGAAGAAATTTTCAGCTGTAGAACAATACTTGCAAGCAGTTAAGTCATTTTGATTTAATCACAGTGTCCCTGTTTGTAAAGGATATCAAAATCCACTTCAGAGCTATATTGTTCACAGAATATATGTCTTGGAGATATTTTTCTTCTTCCAACACATTAGTGCAGATAATTTATTACAGTTTGCTGACTTTAAAATCTTAAGCATCCATTTTCATCGTGGAAATAGGAACTTCCAAAACAAATCCACTCACCTAGTAGCCATGTGAAGCAGAGTGGCTTGCTAACAGCATAAGTTTGAGGGGAACCCTATTTGTGACTCGAGGTTCATAATTTCTGTGAATTCTGTCCTTCAAAAATGATTTTTTACGATGTCGGTGCTATTTCCGAATAGCGCTATATTCTGAGACTACAATGCATCGTTTTGATCTCCGGTACGTAGTACAATGTTATAAATCGCTGTGTTGATAAGAAAATTTTGAATTAAATGGCAGGCACTTAATGCGTTAACACATTGTTTGTGGCTCAAATTTGAGCATCCCACGTTTTGGAACTGTTGAAACTTTACTTAAAAGAAGAAGAAAACTCATAAAACAGAGACCAATTTTATAGCTATGAGATGTGTAAAGTAACATTATCCAAGATATATAACTGCCCTAATCAATCAGACTTTGTTATTGGTTCCTGAGAGAATACCTCAAGGCATAATAAAACCCACCGAAAATGTGCAGTTAGCAACACAAGAATTCTACAAAACATTCAAAATGTTGTGGGGAGTATATTGTGAAGACAAAAAGAAGAATAGGAGAGAATTGTAGTTATATGTTCCAGAAACAAGAAATCTATTTGAAAAGCAGGAATAGTTATGAATTGTAAGAGCCATCACCATTTAAAAATATGTAGCTGTTAAATTTAATAAATGTGAACTGTTACAAATTTCTAACTAAATTCTCCTCTCTTTTTTTTTGGTTAGGTAAGCATGCATACTCAACTCTCCCTGTACCTCAGTATTATCCCATTGTGGACTTCCAACATCCCAAATGCGAAGATAAAGAGAAACTACTTAGCCTAATGCCCTGGTGGCCTATTAATTCTCTAATCGCCATATCATTGGCTTTAATCTAGTTATTTCACATATACTAATTATGCCATACCTATAAAGGAATTATTAGGGTGCGCCAATTATGAGATTTATGACCTTGTTAGCTCTCACAAATTTGTTTGTGTGTTCACAACATGATCATGATCGCATGCGCATCAAGGCAATGCCTCGAATGCTATGTGCATGCACCAGAATACAAGCTTGATGAAACTGATTACATGGTGATGGTCCGGTCTTTCCCGTTAAGAAGTTCCTTCTAAGTTGTTATATGACGTGTATCGTTATGGTAGATGTCATCTGACATGAGAGTTTCTTTTTTGTTGTAGCAGCTGCAGTTTGAGAGTTCTAGGATATTTTTTTTAGTTAGTATTGAGAGTTCTAGGCTTTTGGATAGAAGAAATACCATAAATTTTTAGATGGATGCCATAAGAAAAACTCCTTGGAGTCTATGAATCGATTGTGGACAGCTTTCTTCAATCATTTTTGATGCGTTGTTACAAGTAATACCGACACAAGGGTATTACAGACACTAGTCTGCCTTTGTCCAAGTGGTTTTGGGTCTTAACTCTTAAGCTCCAGATCAAGTTTTCAAGACCGGTAGAGAGAAGAAAGGAAAAAAAATATCGACACAGGAGTGAAAGAGACCACCAAGAGTTGTAGCCTAGTCTCGCCTTCCAAAGTTGAAGGTCGAGGGTTCAAGTCTCCATAGGAACAAAGTGGGTACGTGAGTTTCAAAACGGAAAAAAAGGAGTGTGAGGGTTTTACAAATCTGGAGTGATGAACTGAAGCACTTGCAAATGACTTTTCTTGCACTATATAGCACAATAGTCCCTGTGATATCAAAGAATTCTTTGTCCCATATCTCTTTGATAAGAAAGTTTCCCAGAAACCAATTACCAATGACCTTGTACATTTTTATTGCCATCAAATTTGATGTGAAAGTAGCACAGTTATAGGCACAAATAGAAGAGCTATAGGGATCAAATTGGGCATATTGGTCTAATCATGATACTCTGCTTCCTTGCCTGCCCTTCATCACCAGAAGAGAATGGTCCCACATAGTATGAGCATCCCTCGGCACATAAAGTGTAAAAAAATAACAAGCAAGTAAAATAACAAGTTCAGTTGGATAATTTTATCAATATTACTTCATTCTGATCCTTCAAGTGGTCATTTTTCTTTCTAAGCTGCAACCTAGTGGCTGATAATTTTGGTGAAAGATAATTTTAATCTAAATTTCTGTCAATCTTTAACAATCAAAGTTTCCAGCATCATATTTTAATTGCCAAAATATCCAGGATATTGACAATAGATCATTAACCCAAACATGCAGGTTCTTTTTTTTTTTTTTTTTTTTTTTTCTGAAAAGAAAGAAAAAACTTTCCACAATAATTTTGAGAAATGAAATGGAAGTGTCAAACACGATCTTACGTTTGCGCAAAGCGTATGGCTACAGAAAACCAAAGAACTTATGTTGATTTCAAGATTACCATAAGTTTGTAACTTTTTTTTTGATTAGTACCATAAGTTTTTAACTTATGGATCTCTATCCCTTTCAATATTTATTAAGGTAAAACCTAACTAGCTTTTAACATGATAGAATAGGACAAATACAATAGACGATTTTTTCTTATATGTGAACATCACCAGAACCATATAAAAAAATATAAATAAATAAAAAGAAAAACAAAGAATGTACTTTGGAATATTCAAAATATTTTAAAGAGATGTTGATGGGCTTTTCATGTAATTCAAATTGATTAGAAGTCTCAGGCATGTTTGCAATGCCATTGAGAAAGCTAAAATAAACACACCTCCAAAAGTTTTAAACAAAACTGCACGCCCACATTATTTAACTAAAACCCCCACTTATGCTAAAATATTTATCCCTTCAAAACTTATGAAGATGAATATTAAAACTCTATGCTTGGTTCAGTATTGTAAGTATAAGAATAATGTAATGTTCATAGAAAGCAGAAAAACAGAAAATGGTGTGAATTTTTTTTCATAGTGGTCCAGGTTCTTTGAACTGTTTTTCTGAACTTTTTTTTTTAAATTTTATTATTATTATAAAAAAAAACAGAATTTAATATATTCTTGGAATTCTTGAAAATTATTTTAGACCATAGGAATAGCAATTTTCTCATCACACGACTGTACTGGAAGAAGAAAATACAAATGGGGGCCGAAAATTTCCACAATATCGAATACTTTTGGCACTAAATATGAAAATGGAAGACTAGAAGGAAATATTTTTTTGAAAATGGAAGTGGAAGTCTAGATGCATAGACTTTCTGTACAAGCACTAGCGGATGAAAGTCTATATAGTCATCCACACCCATGGTTGGTTTTCTCCCACTAACTTGGTGCTCTGTTCAATTTGGCCAGCCCCTAAAAGATTTCTAGCACTTTCGGTAGAGACCAATTTGAGTTTTGCTCACATCTTGAATGATTTCAAGGACGTATTAGAAGAAATTCTGACCACCCATCAATTGGAATGGTTTGTGGGTTCCGAACAGCTATAGTGACGGATGCTACAGTAAAAAAAAAAAATTGATCATTTCTCTCGCAAAGGGATAAGGCTGAACTAACGTAGATTACGCTGGACCACTACTCCATGTAGAAAATTTGAATTCACCGTAAATATCACATCTTCCTTCCTTTCTCAGGAATAATGCATAAACATAAAATATAATATAATTTAATGGTATTCCTCTTTTACCACCTATATACATAAAATATTTTTCATTTCATTAATTTTTTATAGGATTCTCTCTTATAAGCATTTTTTTTTTTTTTTTTTTATCATTTTTAGATTTCAACCATCATTCTCTTACAATATACCTTATACTATGTTTGGAAACATCGGCTTCGATTTAAGATTGAAAATTTTTAGTACAAAACTTTAAACTAAAATCCTTTCAATTTTAAATTCAAAGCGTTAATTTGATATTTTTAAACACAATAGGTGTTAAATCCTCAAATAATTATATACGTCGTATTATCTAAAATTATAAGCACAATCTTAAAAAGAAGACATTGAACATTAATTATAGATGGTGGTATATCATAAAAAAATTGGGTGGGAACATTATAAAGATATTTACAGGAACAAACTACAGTACAGTAAGTTGCATGTACTGATGGAGATTTAGTCCTACTTTCACACCCCAATGTTACAAATTAAAAGAAGGAAAAAGCGTGGACAAAGCAAAGGGCCACAAAAATTATTTGTCACCCAGTGAGATCCTCTGCTCTCTTGATTTAAAAATAGAATAATTCGAAAACAATCTGAATTCGAGATGCTAATATGGATTAAAGTGGGGTACAATATACTATACATAAAGAGTGAGAGAGAGGAGTACAATATACTATACATATATCTCAGGGCTAATTCCATAAACTTTCACTACTTTTAAATTTTAATCGTAAACTTTCAATCTGTTTTAAAAAATTCTTGATATTTTAAAAAGCAATCACATTGCCCCAATATTCATATCCAGCCCGTTAACCAAACTGTAAAATATCAAATTTGACCTTGCTATTTAATATTAAATTAAGAAATATAATTATCATTGTTAAAGTTACGAAAATACCCCCATGCCTTCTTCCTCCTCCCTCTAAAACTTTTACCCCTCTTTAAACCAAAATCACAACCACTCCTCTCTTCAGTTCTTCATATATATATATATATATATATATATATATATATATATTTATTTATTTATTTATTTATTTATTTATATATATTGCAATTATACGGAATAATGGGTTAATTTGAGTAATTTGGTGTAATTGCAATATATAATATTGCAAAATATATATATATATCTATGGTGGTTTATTTTTAGTAAAGGTTTCATTTTGGTTTGTGAATTACATAAATTTTCTTGTGATTTTTGGAGGGTTGCAAACAAAATCAATGACTTTGGTTTGAGTTGCATAGAATCAGCCACTCATATGGAGCAATGATCGACGATCTTGAGATTTCCGAAACCACATGTGTTGATGATGGGAATGAAAATTAGCTTGTTGTGGTAAGCCGTTGTGAAGAGCAGCGAATGACCTTGGGTCACGATTTGAAGAAGGTTGGGTTGCCAAACCCATGGTGGTTTCTAAGTCGCGCTCCAGTGACCTTCATGATCGTTACTGGTGACCTGTTATGGGTCGATTGAAAGTAGTGGGTCTCTACTATTTGCGGTGACCAAAACTCTGCACCGGACTAACCAGAGATGTTTGGATGACGGTGGTTATTTTGGTTTAGAGATGAAAGGGAGGAAGAAGATTGAGATATTTTTGTAATTTCAAAAATAATAATGATATTTTTAATTTAATATTAAATAGTAAGGTCAAATTTGACATTTTACAGCTTCATGGACGGGTCGGACGCGAATTTTTTAAAGTGTCAAGTTTTCTAAAACAAGTTGGGGGGGTTTATGATCAATCTTTGAAAGTAGTGGGAATTTATGGAATTAGCCCTATATGTTATATGATGCACTGGCCTGTACATTAATACCTCTCCACCTCCATAAGTTCTTTCATCATTCCTTCTTTCTTACCAGCCATAGAAGTGTTTCTCTATTTACAAGCCCTAGGTTTTTAGTTATTGAACTAAGGGTACAAAAAGTAGCTTTAACAAAAATGGTTTTCAGATTTTATTTTTCTGTTTTTTCTCTCTAGGTTTTTTTCGAACTGATCGGATAGTTAGGAAGGGAGGGACGAGTCTTGTGGTGGGCGATGATTAGAGGAGGAACGAAGGAAGCTGTGGAATTGGGTGTTGATCGGAACTTGCAGGGTTTGTTTGAGGAAGGAAGGAGTGAATTTCACGCGCCATCTATGAGCGTGAAGGATAATGGGGACACGTGGCCCAAAACGTTTTGTGGGCTCATTGAGAGGCCCAAGTGGTCTCATATTGGGCTACCCCCTCTGGACCGACTTTAGGTCCAATTGGTGTGTTATATTCTGGGCCTTCATTTCTTATATTGGGCTAACATTCCCAATGAGAAGGCCCATCCGAGAAGGAGCTATACTCTTCACCCGCCAGAATGCACGCTCTCTTTTCATAAATGGCGATAGCTGCTGTACCCTTGTGGTTCTCTCTTCCGGCGCATCTTGCTTTTCTAACCCTTCTAACCCTAACCCTAATCGAGCATACACTGGAAAATCACAACCCTTCAATCCTATCTCAAATTCTAACACTAACCCTAACCTTAGTATAGCAGACACTGGAAAACCAGAGCCTTTCAATCTTCTCCCAAATTATAACCCTAACCCTAACCCTAACCCTAATGGAACAGACACTGGAAAATCGGGCAGACACTCATCATGATAAAACCAGCTAGAGGCTTGGTTAGTGTTCCCCTTCTCTCTCTCTCTCTCTCTCTCTCTCTCTCTCTGTCTATATAGATGTGTATACCTATACACACACCCGCGTGTTCAGTCCTTTATCTCTGTACCAATTATAAATTTGCCACTGTTTTACTTCGATCACCTTTAACATTTTTTTGTTGATTTTTTGAATTTATCTCATCTTTACTAATTATTTTTAGTGGTAATTTATCATGTCTATATAGTTCGAACATACATGTATATACGTGACGTCTATAAGTTTCATACAACTTTTGGGGAAATTTTTTCAAACAAAGATAAATTTGATATTCAAATTTTCAATAGGTTGGTGATACTATTAGCAGATTTGACAAAATGGGGTTCTCATTGAAAGGTGTAACTAATTTTGATTGGTTATATTTTTTTTTACTATTTACTCCTGTGTGTTCTATATCTATTTGAGATTTCATTATTGGCAATTGTGCGTTTTATCACTGTATTTTAAGGCGATTAGGGTTTCAGGGGAAAAATAGGGTTTTTAGTGTCAGATGATTGATTCTGAAAATTTTAAATGTCATGGATTTGTTTTTTTCTCATTATTGTTTGTCTATTAGTTTTCAGTTGTTCTCTTTAGTGTGGAGTAGAGCAGTTTGGTAGCTTGCAAGGTCATCACCTTGAGATCCCGGGTTCAAATCCCGTCTCCGCTTCATTTTATTCTCATTTTTTTTTTTCTCCTCTCTATCGGTTGCTCTCTACTTTTTCCCTTGTTTGCAGTCACGTTAAAGAACATGCTGAAAGTTAAAGAGCCTTTCCTTTGATTAGTTGAAAGCAGTATAGAAAGCGTCTCCTGTTTGGTCTTGAGCTGGACTCTTGGATGATCAACTTCCATTTCATGTTGTATCAATTATGAAATTAGGTCATTTCAGCTACTGTGTTTTTTTGTGTGTATATATATATATATATATTTGTCCTTTTGTTGTCAGAATTTGAGCAATTTACATGCATCTCGGTTGACTAGTTGTTGCCATTCGCCTAATGTATTTATTAAGCAATCATTTGTGTATGCATGTTGAATAGTTGGTGTTTAATTGCTTGTTGTTTCATTTCCAGGATTTCACAGTGGTTGCTTAGTTTTTTATGGGATCTTAGGAGGCACTATACCTGCACTTGGAAATATTAAAGTTTGTCAATCATATTGTCCATTTTGTGGGTGTTGGAGCTTCTGCTTGCTCTTTGCTTCCTGGTGTTTGCTGGCAGCAGTTCTCTGTTTGCTGTTAATGTTTTCCTTTTCTGTTGCATGCTCCCTAGTCCCAATTTTTTTTGGTGGTTTGCATTCTACTGTTTATACTTTCAGACTGTAAACAGCTACCAACTAATTTTGCCCAACTACTTGTACATTATCCGCAAAACAGAACTAGTTCATTGAACATTTCTTCCATTACTAACTTTGAGATTGCATATTTTTTCTGCTTGCCATTCTAGATCCAATGGAGTGGACTACGTCTAAAATAGATGGGACTCGAATGCCTTAGGTCTTGCTGTTGTCATGTGTCATATACATACATACACATACACATACACACACATACACATACATACATATACATTCATACACACACACATACATACATACATATATATTTGGGGGTGAGTAGGATTTCATGACATCATCTTCAAGATTTGTTGTTGGAGATAATCTTTTTCGTGGAAGCTTATTGATATTATATTTTAAGATGATCCTGTGTTACATTTTTGTATTTTATCACGGAATAAGCATGGAATACCAAAAGCATCATCTCTTTTTGTAATCTTGTCCATTTGTCTTAAGTTTCTAAATCAATTCTTTTGCTAAAGTGGTCTTGTCTTCTTCCTTTTCAAACATGGCGATTTGAACTGAATGTTTGGTTAACTTTACCTCGTATTTGATGTAGCATTGTTTATGCGCAATGTGTTCTTTGGGGTTTTAATCGAGTTGACTGTATCTCTATTTCTTTTGGGGCATTATGGATGACGTTCACATTTAGTACTGTGGTCAAAATATAACGCTGAACAAATTTTCTAGAATACTTGATAAAACTTGGATGAAGTGTGATGCTTCTCTCTTAATACTGACTCATGGTGAAGACTTGTAAGTTTATCCTTGTTTATGATTGGGATTTGTTTATTTGTTTTTGTTAGTTTATATTGGTAATATATCCATTTATGTTTATCTATATACAGATTTAGACTGCGTGGAGAACATTTTCTGCCCTTTTTTCATGATGCAGCTGCTTGTGTTTTGCCTTTTTTTTCAAGTGTTATTGTTAGTCTACAATGAAATGGACAGATCCAGTGGCGTGGCTGTGCTGTGAAACTTTCTATTCTGATACTAACACATGGTTTATATTTCAGTAAGTATTGCTTCGGTTTTTCGATTGCATTTCTCCTTTTGCTTGCCAATGGGATGCAATGGATTGTAGCTGAAATTGATGGGGCTTAACATGTTTCAGAACACTTATGTAGTTGTGATTTCATTACCTAATTGTTTAATGCTGTTGGATCTTCACTTATAATGCTTGAGGTCCCAATTAAAAATATAAACATGTATTGCAAATGCTGTTGGAGCTACCTTACCAGGAAAACAAAGTGCTGTTGGTTGTTGGTTCTTGGAGCTCCCAGGTGTTAGCATGCAATGCAGTTAGCATTCTCCACTTCTCCGTTCCTTTCTCAGATGACTCTTAACTCATAGGTGAGTTGACTGCAGGTATTTATCCACGGTGTTAATGCTGTTTCTCTATATTGATGTCTGCATGGTTTATTGCTCAAGTACTTCTTGGTAAGGGGTTTGTTTTCTGATTTCTTGTCTGTTTTCCCCTCTCTTCATTGTAGCCCCTGGTTGCTTGAAGGTAACATTTTGAAGGAACTTGTACAGTAGCAGTTTGCGCTAGGGAGTTTACTGCAGTTATTTATCCAGTGTTGATGCTGTTCTCTATCTTGATATTTGCATGGCTTCTTGCTCAAGTATTTCGGTATTTTCTTTGATAAGGTTTTTGGTTTTTGGTTTCTGATTTCTCTGTCTGTTTTCTCCTCTCTTGATATGTACTTGCATGTTGCAGAAGGACCATTCCATTTTCTTTATGGTGTCATTCCTTATCCTTGAGAGGAACTAAGATTACTTTTTTTTTTTTTTTTTTCTGAATATTTATGTTAGATCTTTTGTGGTTTAGGTTTCATAAGAATAATTTCAACGGGCCAGTGGTTTAGTGGTATCAGGCCTTTACTTCCTAAAGGGAGGTCAGGGGCTCAAGCCTCAGTGGAGGCATGTGTGTGAGTACCAACTAGGAAAAAAAAAAGAAAAGAATAATTTCAATGGAAAAGCTACTAATTGTAAGATTGTATGACTTCTCTCTCTCTCTCTCTTTTTGGTTTTGTTTCAGTCGTTAATTTTAGCCTTGGAGTTTTTAGCTTAAGAACTTGTGTTTTATGTGGAAGATATGGATGACGTGTTGCAAGAATTAAGTCTTCTTGCAACTTGTCCTTCGTAAACAAACTCTCATTAGAAATTGTTTGGAAGGGGTGGAATTGATGGGAGTCCATCGAGTCTTTCAATGCCCCACATTTGAGAGTTTTCGTATGTCTAATTTTGAAGAATCTTATTTGTGATAGTACGGGTTGACAGGCATCTTGTTATATGGGAGCAACAACTCAGGGTTTATGCGCGGTAAATTCAGTTGTTGATTCTTGCAGTTAGTGTTGCGTCATTCTTCTCTTCGCAAATGGTCTATCATTTTAAGTGTAGACTTGATCCGTTCTTTAATTTTTTTTATTATATCCGAGCTCTTCCCTTTTTGGTTGATCTCTGGGTGATACTGTCTTGTATACTTACTATTATATGTATTTTGCTTTTCTATCCGTCTCTATCTGTGTATTGACCTGAAGCCTTTTTATCAATAATTTCGAATTGTATGCTAAAGCTGAAGCTTATTTTTTGTTTGCAGTTCCATGGTAGAACCAAAGCATGACCAAAATTTAGAGCACTTTCCTGGATTGGTTTTGCTTCTTATTCTTTGCTGTGTATAATATGACTAGGCGTAGGATATAAGAAAGAAATGTATAGAGTTCTTGCTGGCCATAACTGTGTTCTTTATGATGTTAATAATTACACTACTGTTATTTTTTTGCTATCCATATGATTGCACAATCTTCAATTACTTTTTTATGTTGCCTGTAGGAATGTCATGCAACAAAGTGGTTGTTTGGCAGCTATTTTAAATATTTATTGAACTGTTAACAGCATTACTGTTTGGCATTTTAAAATTTTTTTGTTTGCAGTTCTGATGTCTGGTAAAATAACTGGTGTTTTTTTGTGCCCCCTCAGAGTGGCTTCTAAGACGATGGATGTCTTTTTTGGCCTCTGCAGCTATATATTGCACAAGAACTGTTGGAATGTCATGCAACAATAGGTACTGTTGATTGTAAAGGTTTTTATTTATAACCTTTAAAAGTTGAGTTTGAAGTTACATTATTCATCACCTTGTGTAACCAATAAGAATTCATTTATAAGCAATCGAATTGTTATATATAAAAGATTTCAAGGTGTATTATCACTGTATTGAAGGCTACTAGGGTTTCAGGGCGAAAACTAGGGTTATTATATTCCAATGATTGATTGTTAACTTATATAAAAAAAAATGATTGATTTTGAAAATTTTAAGTGTACCATCTATCATAGATTTGCTGTTTCAAAAATATAATCTTAGAAACTAGAAAGCAACCATTGCAAATTCATAAACTAATACTTGGAATTTTAATATCCTTGGTTTGTTCATAATAATCTGTTTGTTATAGCAGCAATTTATCCTCTTTCTCAACTGTATTAAAAAGTTGTTTATTCATATTTCTTTAATGCGAATGCTATAATTGTTATGCTAATCTGTGAATTAAAAACTTACTTACACTTCTGTGTGGTACAAATGGGATATATGTTACTAGTATAAAATTGATCATTGGTCTTTTTCATAGTGAAACGTAGTACCATCTTAGAGTCAAAAGCTTGTGGGTGGGTGGTTCCTAGGTCTTTTTAGTTTGTTGCTGATTAGATTAACCAAAAACCGTCATTGTTACATGAAGTACTCCTGAATGTTGGAGTTGTCATATATATAAATATTTCTGATACAGCATAGTATCTATCACAGATTGCTATCATTTGCAATCTATATTTTTGGCATCATTGGTAGTACAAATTATGGGTACTATATTTGTACACTTGGTGTAATTTCAATTCTTTGTTAGTTTCTACTGTACGTGTTTTGGTTGGAGTGACTGTATTTGCTAGTGGGTTGAGGGGTGGATGTTTGGAAGGAAGAAGGAGGGGGGGGGGGGGGGGGGGGGGGGGGGGGATATGGAAGGATGAGTTGAAAACTGGGCAAAGAGGTTATAGAAGTAGAGAGGAGGAACTGGTGACAGGGGAGGTCAGAGGTGGTAATGGTCCAAAGGAAGACATTTGGCCAAGAGGAGATCCAAAATGACAATTTATCATGATAAAGAAGAACAATAAGTTGTAAACTGTCCAATTTGATTTACTCCGATAGTCATGTTTTAAATTGTGAACCGGTCCTGTACTGAAATGTATATGGTTCAGGTCCTAGATCAAGTGATGGCCTTCCATATGCTCTTGTCTGCTGGTTACTCAGGCAGGATTGCCTCAGAATTTAGAAATATATTTATATATACAGATTACTCAACAATGGAGTTTCAGTTGCAACTGTTGCATGCTGAAAATTGAGCAGCTGTGGATGGGTTTTTAATTGAACAAGTGAAATCATTACAGAGTGGAGGTTCTATTTTCCAATAGCAATTGTTTGGGTAGACCAGAGTGAACCTTATGGCGTAATTGGTTTCACGTTTAAGCAAGTGCAACAGAGAGAGATTCTGAAAAGAACAGCAGTTATGGATTGAGGTGGTGAATATGATCAACTTACTAGGAATATGTGGATTTAGATCTGATGGCAAAAATAACATATTATTATTAGCCCTAAGTAGTTGAGATTTAAGATTTTGTGTGGGTTGAAAAATGATTCATCATCATCATCCTTGCCTTTGTTCCATATGGATGGGGTCGGCAAATTTTTTATGTTATTGTGTATATAATTATATAATGTGAAGCATCCAGTATTTCGTTTGCCTTGAGTTCGTTTAGATTGCCTTAGTTAATGTATTGCTCTCTCACAGTAAACTCAACATGAATTTTCTCTACTTCTTTCTTCCTGTGAACTTTGGTTCCATTCTAATTCTCAATATCTGGTTTCTGCAGGGTGTACTTGTGCAGAGAGTTGAGCCCATCTCTGACTCCAGTAATGTCTTGAAGGAGGTATGTTGCCTTTAAGAGTTTACTCGGACATTCTTAATATGCATCTATATTTGCTAATATGTTATATTGTGTAGGAAAACTTGCACTATTTTTATTGCAGTGCTTTTGACATAGGCCAATGGATCGCAAGATCGTAGAATCTCTATTATTGGGCACTCTATCAATATTCACAATTAGAGGATCCGAGTGTCCGATTTGGTTCTTGTGTTGGACATAGATCCCATATTGTGACCATTGTCATGTTAAAACGGATACTATTGAAGGATTTAAATATTAAAGTTACGCCCTCTCTAATTAGCTTAAGCTTTTAGAGTTGATGGTAGTTATCAAGGTATCAGAGCCAAAGGTCTCGAGTTCAAACCTCACCATCACCCTAATTAAAAATTGAAAAACACGTGTTAGACCAAAGGAAGGCCACACGTGAAGTGCGTGTTGTGGGATTTAAATATTAAAGTTACATCCACTCTAATTGCTTAAGCTTTTAGAGTAGATGGTAGTAACTGGTTAAAAAAATGAAAATTTTGTCAAACGGTGAATTGTAACTTAGGAAGCATGGACACTCCAAAATGGGCGAAGAATCCGTGTCCAACACGTGTCGGACACGGACATGCGTTGGACACGCCCCGACACGTGTCGGACATGCCAAAAAACGTGTCTGGAATTTTTTAATTTTTTTGAATTTTTGGACACGGCACGAATACTCCGCGAACACGGCACGGACACTCCGTGGACACGGACACGGCACGGACACTTTTGGAATTTTTTTTTTTTTTTTGAATGCTGATAAGTTCTTTTTTTTTTGTTTTGTACTACCCTTTTGGTATTATAAATGGTAAAAAGTCCTAGGTCAAATGATTGATGGGAATAGATGATAGTACACTGACTTGTTTTTGTATCTTTTTTGGGGACTAGCCTTTAGGTTTTTGTGAATGTTAAGTGCTAACAGTAAAGTCCTGAATGTTAAACAGTCATGAATGTTAATAGTCCTTTCTGTCTATGCTTTTGTATTTGGAGTAAAGTTGCAATGATGATTAAATGATACTAGTTATTATTCTAATGTCTTGTTTTTTATTTGGTTTTATAACTCTGTAACATTGTTCTTTTATAGTTTATTAGTTATGAGTTATGAGTTATGATTTGTGTTTTTTTTTTCATTGTGAGGTTGATGAAAAATAGTAACACTCTGTAATTTTTAAAGTACCACATCATATATATATATATATACACTATTCGCCGTGTCCATGTCCTAATTTTTTTGGATTTGCCGTGTCGCCGTGTCGGTGTCTTGTTGTATCCGTATCCCGTATCCGTGTCCATGCTTCTTAGATTGTAACTAGTGGAACTATGCAATATATATATATATATATATATATATATATATATATATGTGATATCATGCTTGTCATGCATGCAGAATATGAAGTCGATTGGTTACAGGTGGCTCTATCCATTGTTGCTAATTCCCATTGTACTATAAAATTGATACCTGGCATATGTGACGAGCATGATAGGAGTTTCTAATCCAATGGTAAGGTTGACTAATGAAGAGTCCCACAAAAAGTTACATAAGTAGTGAGAGTGAAGTAGAATCCAGAAGAGAGAGAGTGAGAAGAAGAAAGGGAAGAAAGAGTGAAGAAGAGACGAGAGAGGAAGAATCCGAGGGAAAGGAAATCTGCAATTCAATGCTCAATTTTCGATATTCTTTAAAGGTTTTCTTACTCAATGCATATGCCTATTTATTTATAGGCAGTACGAAGACCTAAAGTCCAAGATAACTGCTACAAATACATGGAAGTCAAGAATGATTGCCATGCATCCTATTGTAGCTGTGCCTATGCTGAAAGCTAAAAATAGCTATGCTTAGTTTCAACAAAGTTGAAATACAGCATACCTTATTTATGGGCACACCCGAACCTAGTATTAAAAGGAAATACTGCAAACTACCCCATATATATTATAATTCCTAAAATATATAGGAAAACTATAAACTCTATCTGTCCTTGCCTCTTCTCCATGCATAGGTGAAAGTCATGAGCAATTCAAACTCTCTGGCCATGCCTGGTTCTTCATCAGCCTCTTGTAGTAATCTTGTTTGGATTTTGCTAGTTCTTTTAATTCCCTACCTAACAAAAAGTGATGCAAGTTTCTTGGGTTTCTGGCTTTTTGTAAGATTAACATTCTGAGAATCAAATAATAATTGTAAATATCAAATTTAATTTTTTAATTTTTCGGGGGATGTGATTGTAAGCTTTGGTGGTGTGCGTGTAGTGTGTAGAAACAGTGCCATTCAGATCAACTGAGCGCTAGCATTTTTCTACCTCATTAGTGGAAAGTAATGTGTTTTTATTGTGTTAAGAAATTATATTTCTCAGCTCATTTTAGTGGCCACACACACAGTAATACATTTAACAAGTCCTTGTAACCAATATTTAAGATGTGGAATACCTTGTAATGACACAAATTGCTTTCTTGGCAATTCACATTCAAGGGTAATACTGTTGCACTCCTTTACTCTAGCTTTCCTACTCTTACACTACAATTTATTGGGATATGTGCTGAATGATTTAATGACTGAAAACATGTTTATTTTACTAATACAATATTGTATAACATAATCAACTTAAGCTAAAGAGGATCTTGTCTTGTTGGGCCAATTGGGGTAGCCCCTGCAGTAGTGTATCCCCTGCAGTAGTGTATGTTTCTCTGGTTGAGACATGTTTTTTTACCTATATCGTTGATGCTATTTGTCCAATAATCACAAATATGTAGTTTTTGTATTGGATATAAGAATTTCCAGTTGAGGTTTGCAGGTGATGTAGCGGATAGAGGTGTAGCTTTCATGAAAGTTTAAGTAGTTTTGAATCCACGTGTGCATTTGGTATGCAAAGAGAAACTTACCTTTCTAATGACGTGAAATTTGATACCATGTTAACGTGAATTTTGTTTGGTGTTGGTTAATTTGGGTTCCTAATGCTCTCGCCTCAAGGTTCCCTTTCACAATTACGGAGCTCAACCTTAGTATTTGATGGTTGATGGGTTGGTGTTTTTCACTCATGAGAGTACATTTTATGAGATTTTTGTCACCTATCAATATGCCAATTACATCTCTCAGATTTTTTTTTTTTTTTTTTGGGCAACTAATGTTATTAATGGGCTAATTTAATTCAATTATTCTAACTGTGAGGAGTGTGAAGAGAGTATAGGAGTAGGTGGTTAAAATAACCGATGACACCTTATGGCCCTGGTTAGCTTGTTAATCCTCTTGCATGTGCATTCTATTTCATACTCTCTATCTCTCTCTCTCCCTCTGCGAAAGTTGAATTCTGAACTCTTATTATAATTGGGGACAATGACAGGCCTGTTTAGTATTTTATGCTATTTAATTATGTTAAAAGAAGGCAAGTTGTTTCTTACCCCTTCATATCTGGGATGCTTTTTCCAATTCATATCCGTCTCTGAAAATAAAGATTATGCAGGTTTTGAAGTTCAATGGCTCGCAAATAAAAAACGTTCACCGCCTATCTCACTTGGTTGACTGTAAGTGCTGGCATCTCTTTCTTCTTACCACTTTTTCCCTACCTTAGTCGTGACAAGTGTCATGCTTTTTTCAGCATGCAAGGACAAGTATCTAGTTTTCGAATTTGAAGACGATTACCTTGCTGTCATGTTACAGTTGGAGCACTTGTGGGAGATAGCATTCAATTGGTCTTGGTTTGTGCTTATCTACGTTTTGAAAGATGTGAAACCGCATGGGTGGTATTATTTCATCATCTTTCCATGTTTTACTGCTTTGTTTAGTTCTTAATCTTCTTTCTTCTATATTTTCTTTTCCACCCTTCTGTTATGAGAATTCATGGATCCTTCATCTGTGTTTCTCTTTTTGCTGCTCTGTTTAGTTTTTAATCTTCCTTAATCTATATAATATATTTTTAATAATTTATCAATATATTCTCAATAAATTCATTTGATTGCAAAGGTTTTTATTTATAACCTTTAAAAGTTGAATATGAAGTTACATTAATCATCACCTTGTGTAATCAATAAGAATTCATTTATAAGCAATCAAATTGTTATATATAAAAGATTTCATGGTGTATAATCACTGTATTGAAGGCGACTAGGGTTTCAGGGGGAAAACTAGGGTTATTATATTCCAATGATTGATTTTGAAAATTTTAAATTTCATGGATTTGTTGTTTCTCATTGCTTATTATCGGAATAGTAGAGGGGCACATTCAATCCTTGTTTGTCTATTAGTTCTCAGTTTTTCTCTTTAGTGCGGACTAGAGCAGTTTTGTAACTTGCAAGGTCATCACCTTGACATCACGGATTCAAATCCCGTCTCCTCCACACTTTTTTTTTTTTTTATTCTAGGTTTTTTATTTTCCTCCAGTGCGAAGGATTTTTATTTATTTTTCTTTCTGTTCGCTCTTTGAGTAGTTGTTGGTTGCTCTTTACTTTTTCCTTTGTTTGCGGTCAAATTGATGAACTTTTGAAAGTTAAAGAGACTTTTTTGTGTGGCTGGACTTCAAGAATGTTATTAGACTGTATCATGTGATTAGTTTAAAACAGAAGAGAGAATTTAACTTTCTGTTTTTTATTATTTTATTTTATTTTATTTATTTTTATCTCCTGTGAAATTTTTGCTTGAAATCTCTTTTTGGTGTTTACAGGTATTTGGTGGTTTTGCTTGTTTGTAGTGGATCCTGAGCCGACGGACTTTTCGAAGAGAGAAAGAATCTCTTCCCGATCAGATAGCAGGCAATTATCAATCTTTTGTTTTTTTAGTATTTATATAAGCATGATGCAAAGGATATATAGCTAATGTTGTTAGAGCACCTTTTGTTTGTTAGTTCGTCTTATAAGCAAGACAACATTGGACCGCTGCTTGAAGGTCTCATTAGGTTTGTCTATATCTAGTTAGAAGCCAAACGGGTCCTTGGATTTTCTGTTCACACACACATATGTTTGTTTGTTTTGGTTTTTGTTTTTTTCAGCATACCATCTATCATAGTTTGCTGAAAAAATAAAGATATATTTTACTGAATATTTTGAAAATATAATATTTGAAACTAGAAAGCAACCATTGTTAATTCATAAACTAATACTTGGAATTTTAATATCCTTGGTTTGTTCATAATAAACTGTTTGATATAGCAGCAATTTATCCTCTTCCTCGACCGTATTAAAAGATTGCCTATTAATATTTCTTTTAATGTGAATGATTGTTTTGGGTTGATTTTTTTGAATTTATCTCATATTTACTATGAAATTTTAGTGGTAATTATCATGTCTATATAGTTAGTTCTTCGAACATGTATGTGTATGTATGTGTATGTATATACATGTATATATTTGTATGTATATGTCATTTATAAATTTAATACAACTTTTGGGGAGTTTTTTTCAAACAAAGATGAATTTGATATTCAATTTTTCCATATTAGGTTGGTGATACTATTAGGAGATTTGACAAAAAGGGTCTCACTGGAAGGTGTAATTAATTTTGATTCGTTATTTTTTTTTTACTATTTATTCCTGTGTGTTCTATATCTATTTGTGATTTCATTATTGGCTATTGTAATTGTGTGTTTTATCACTACATTTGAAGGCGATTAGGGTTTCTGGTTGGAAAATAGGGTTTTTAGGTTCAAATGAATGATTTTGAAAATTTTAAATGTCATGGATTTGTTTTTTCTTGTTGCTTATTGTTGTAATAGTAGAGGGGTACATTCAATTCTTGTTTGTCTATTAATTTTCAGTTGTTCTCTTCAGTGCAGAGTACAGCAGTTTTGTAGCTTGCAAGGTCATCACCTTGAGATCACGGGTTCAAATCTTGTCTCCGCTATGTTTTCCTTTTCCCTCTCTATCCCATTCTTTGAGTAGGTGGTGGTTGCTCTTTACTTTTCCCCCTGTTTGCAGTCACATTAATGAACATGCTGAAAGTTAAAGAGCCTTTCCTTTGATTAGTTGAAACCAGTAGAGTAAGTGTCTCCTGTTTGGTGTAAGCTGGACTCTTGGATGATTGACTTCCATTTCTTGTTGTACAATTATGAAATTAGGTCATTTCAGCTGCTGAGTTTTTTTGTGTGTGCACACACACACACACACACACACACATATTTGTCCTTTTGTTCTTCCTAGAATTTGAGCAATTTACATGCAATCTCGGTTGACTAGTTGTTCCCATTTGCCTAATGTATTTATGAAGCAATCATTTGTGTATTCATGTTGAAGAGTTGGTGTTTAATTGCTTGTGGTTTCATTTCCAGGATTTCACAGTGGTTTCTTAGTTTTTTATGGGATCTGAAGAGGCACTATACCCGCTCTTTGCTTCCTGGTGTTTGCTGTTAATGTTTTCCTTTTCTTGTTGCATGCTCCCTAGTCCCTATTTTTTTTGGTGGTTTGCATTCTACTGTTTCTACTTTCAGACTGTAAACAGTTACCAACTAATTTTGCCCAACTACTTGTACGTAGTTAGCCACAAAACAGAACCAGTTCATTGAACATTTATTCGTGTACTAACTTTGAGATTGCACTTTTTTTCTGCTTTCCATTCTAGATGCAATGGAGTGGACTATAGCTAAAATAGATGGGATTCGAATACCTCAGGTTTTGCTGTTGTCATGTCTCATGTACATATACATACATACACACACATATATATATATATATAAATATATTTGGGTGGGTAGGATTTCATGACACCATCTTCAAGATTTGGTGCTTGCTGGCCATATCTGTGTTCTTTGTGTTTACTGTAGGAATTTCATGCAACAATTTGCTTGTTTGGCAGCTATTTTAAATTTTTGTTGAACTGTTGACCGCATTACTGTTTGGCATTTTAATTTTTGTTGTTTGCAGTTCTGATGTCTGGTAAAGTAACTGGTGTTTTTTTTTCTCCCTCTCAGTGGCTTCTAAGACGATGAATGTCTTTTTCCCCTCAGCAGCTATATATTGCACAAGAACTGTTGGATGATCCCGTGGGTGTCTCTGTAGTCCTGTTTGTTTATGGGTTTTGCCAATGATCTTTATGTATTGTATGGTAAAAAAAAAGGTGGGTTCATTTTTTCTTTTCCGTATTTTTTTTTTGTTTGGTTGGACAATGTAAGTGCACCTGCAATTGTAGTGACTACTCAATTACCTGATAATGCTCTTTTTAACTTTGGCAGTAGTGTTGCAGAGCTTTTGTTTTTGTTAAATCATATATTGACCCAAATGAGAAGCTAGCTTCTTTCCTTTTTTACATGTCAGTGAAGATTTCTGGCTGTTAACAGCTCTAAAAAAACTCTCTCTCTCTCTCTCTCTCTCTCTTTCAGTCTTCACTTACAGTTCTTTTTTGTTAACATAACTTTAAGAAGATGATTTTTTCTCCCTTTGCAGCTATATATTCCCCAAGAACTGTTGGGTGGTCCTCATGGGTGTTTTTGCAGTCCCGTTTGTTTATGGGTTTTGCCAATAATCTGGATGTATTGATGGTATAAAAAAGTATATTTTCTCTCTCATGTAGATTGCTCTACTTTTTTACATCTACTTAACTTTTGGTTGGACAATGTTAGTGCACCTTCAATGGTAGCGAATACTCACGTAGTGATAATTTTCAGTTTGGCAGCAATGTTGCAGAGCTTTCATTTCTGTTAAAGATGTATTTGATGGTATAAAAAAGAAAAAAGAAAAAGAAAAAAAAGGGGTATAATTTTTCTTTTCCTTTTTTTTTTTGGTTCATACATATATACTCTCTCATGTAGATTGCACTATTTTCTTACATCTACTTAAATTTTGGTTGGACAATGTTAGTGCACCTTCAATGGTAGCGAGTACTCAATAATTTTCTTCTAAACTTTGGCAGTAGTGTTGTGGAGCTTTCGTTTCTGTTAGAGATGTATTGGTGGTAAAAAAAAAAAAGTGGGATCATTTTTCTTTTTTGTTTTTTTTTTGGTTGATACGTATTTTCTTGCGCCTTCAGTGGTAGCGAGTATTCACGTACTAATAATTTTCTTGTTAACTTTGGCAGTAGTGTGGCAGAGCTTTTGTTTCTGTTAAATCATATATAGACCCCAAATGAAAAAATATAGAAATGATGTTCTGTTTTTTTTAGGCTTTCCTATTAAACCAGTGAAGATTGTAGACTTTCACCAATTCAAAAAGGAAAAAAAAAAAAAAAAAAGAAAAAAAAAAGAACTTTCCTGCTCTTCTGTTTCCTTTTTTCTTTGTTTCATTCTTTATATTTATTTATATTTTTTTGTTTTTGTACTTTATTCTCCTTCCTTTTAACACAGTAGTGAAGATTTTAGATTGTCACCAACTATAAAAAAAAGAAAAGAAATGAAAAGAAAAAAAGATTTGTTGTTTGCTGTTTTGATAGCTGTACTCCTGCTTGGAGAAGGTATTGGCATTGTAGGTTTTGTTGTTTGCAGTTTTCATGACTGGTGGAAAATATGTACATAATCTCTGGTATGCCATTTTGGTTGGCTTCTAGGTGTAGTTACTTGACAGCCTGCTTTGAACTTGTCTAGATGACAACATACTCATGCAATATACAGGAACATGTTTTTGCATGTTGGGGAGAGTTGGCGAGGCGAAGAATAATGATTGTTTCCTTGGGAGGTTGAAATCTTGTAAGATGCTTCTTATCCTTTTTCTATTTTTTTTCCTTGGGCGACGCTTCTTATCAATTGTTTGCTTGCATCTAGTTATTTGATAGTGTTTTTCCCTCCTCTTTTCCTTTGTGGAATTACTTTATGCTTTACCTTTTGAGGTCGTTTGTAGTTTGATTACATGCTTCCTGTTGAAGGATTTATATATTAAAATTACACCCTTTCTAACAGTTTAAGCTTTTGGAATAAATGGTTGTTAACATGGTATATTAGAGACAAAGGTCTCAAGTTCAAACATCACCGTCACCGTCACCCTAATTTAAAATTTTGATAAAACACATGTTGGACAAAAAAAAAAGCCACATCTGAGGGGGCGTGTTGAAGGATTTATATATTTAAGTTTCACTCTGTCTAACAACTTAAGCTTTTGGAGTAGATGGTTGTTAACACTTACATAAAGATGCTCAAGTAAAGCTCCTGCATGAATGGTCTATGAACAATAACTGAAATGTTTTGAAATTAATTCTGCATAGAGAATATATTTGATAGTTTTCTGCATTTCCCCTACCCTAGATGCAATTATGAAACTTTGAATTAGACTGAGGATAGTTGTATGAGTCCGTTCCTATTCAATGACCCCAACTCCTAGTACGGGGTTGGGTTTTTTTGTATGAGTAATGCTATTTAGGTCAATTTGTCTGGTCAAAGAATGCAACCGATGGGGTTTTTATCCACTTGATGAAGTGGATAAAACTCAAGTGTGGGTCCTATCTACTACATCAAAGGAATATAAACCCTTAGGCTATACAAATAAGTTATAGAGAAATCGGCCAAAGAATCATTTTCCTTTTAGTATTGTTGATTGAATTCCATAATTTTAATTTTCCAGGGACTCTATTAATGTAGTCTGGACTGTTTAGAACTTTGGATTAGCTTCCCTGCATTGGCTTCAGTCCTCAACCCGGGACCATAGGGAAGGAATGCGGCAAAACTTGGTAGATTGCAGCTCTTGTGATTATGACCTATTGTTCCACATTGATAGCAGAATGATGGGAGATGTTCATAGCTAAAGGAACCCAAACAGGTGTTATGGAAGATTTTTAAGAAAGATCCTCTGCGTAGTGGTTTGGAGACTTCTATATAAACTTTGATTCCGATATGTCT